GACATCATCAGCGTCCTAGTCACACGGTCTGGAAGCTCATGCCACGAAGAACAACCACGGAAGCATCTGCTGGCTTCGCTCTTATTCGGAGAGAAGACCACGCATGCAAAGCACTGTGTGTGTTTGAATTTTTTTGAATGTAACGTTCACTCAAAGCAGAGGGAAAGACCATACCTTGAAATGATAAAATCGCATCAATTCTGAAAGGTCTCCAATGTGTGAAAGCGGTTTACGCTTAACACCTTAGCCGGCCTCCACGAGACCCCTGCCCCCGAGTCTGTGCCCAGCACTGCGTGGCCCCCTGCCCCGCACCCCTGCACAGCCGGGCCCCAGGGTGGCACCCACACGGCAGCAGAGCCCTCCCTCGGCCTCACTCCATCTCTTCCTCTCTGTCTGACTTGTCTGCGTCCTACCCACCCCCCGTCTCCCACCCTAGACGGTCGGTCCAGGAGGACGGGGCGCACCCTGTCCGGCCCGTCACCAGCGCTCATCCCTGCAGGCACTTAACTGCATCTGTTTGAGAAACACAGGAGGAAATGACAGAGAAACATCAGAGGATCAACGGGGGAAGAGGCTGAAGGCTTCAGAGACAAAAGGGACTGAGAACAGAGCCCGACAGGGGAGCCCTCCGTGAGCTGGCGTCCCCTCTAGAGCGCTGTGCCGCCGGCATGGTGGGCGTGAGAGGAAGAGGTGGCCGCACAGAGGGGCTGGCTAGGAAGCGACCGTCAACCAGACGGAAGCGTCTGCCGAGCTGCTCCGCGCCCGCAAGGACTCCCGCACCCAGCAACGTGCATCACACAACCCGTCTGCAAAAACTGCTGTGCGCGGTTAGCACGTGTAGCTACAAACTCCCACACGTCACGAGCCCCCGGGGGAGCCTGCAGCGCCGGCCCTGGGCCCCGAGGCCTGGAGGGCGCCGTCTGCCGACACTGGGCAGCGGGTGGATGCTGACTCTTTGGGCTCCTGCTCTCCCAACTTTGTTTTTCTAGGTGGAAACGCTAGCTGGCCACTAGGTGGAAAAGGCCAGGAGTGAGGACAGCAAAGCAGGTGGAGCCCCAGCTCCTCGGGGTCCCCAGAGCTCAGGGTCAAGGTGACGCAGAAAAAGACGCACTTGCCACCCAAACGAGGCAGAGGGGCGTGTACAATTGCGAAAGTAACCCACGTTCACTAGAGTAAATTACTTAAAACGGAGAACAAGCGAAGCAATAACCAAAACTTCAACGCCAGGAGAAGACCACCGTGTAATGTTTCCATCCTTTCTCGTTTCGCCCACCCCATTTATATTACATACGTGAGTATCCCGTAAACACACACAACGTGAATGACATAGTGTATACACACGTGGTACACGCACGGTGTGTACGGCTTTCTTACAGCAAACACTCCCGCTTTCACTCAGGGTTCTCTGCAAACACGTCACATTCAGGCACATCACTAAACTACCACTAACTTAATCACATTACTCTTGCAGGGCGTGGAGGGGTCCAAGTAGTCATTTATATAAAACAATGGAGGGATGGTCACGCTACCCTCCAGGAGGACACGCCACGGCCGGGCGCCCGGCTCACGCCCGCCGCACAGGCATTTTGAATCTAAGAACCTCCTCTAATTCAACGGAGGAAGGATAGCACCTCTGCTGTTAAAGGCTTTCTCCTGTGTCTTAACCACAGGTGTTCGCTTTCATGAATCTCCGTGGACACACTGGGTTCTTTGTGTTCTACTCATGGAATGCATATTACCTTTAACGTTAACAGTTTCTATCTGTTAACGGTAGTAATATCTTACCACATTTTTTCCGTTTTCCCTTTGACCTACAGAAGTTCTAAATGTTATGCCGCTTAGTCAAATCGTTTGTTCGAGACTCCTCTCACCGCTTTTGCGCTTAGAAAGTTTCCACCCTTCAGTGATATAGCTATTTTCCCGTACTTTCTTCTAGCTTTGTTTTTCAGTTTACTTCTTTTTCAAAAGCATTAAATTCTTCAGTGAGCTGGACCTGCCTTTAGAACCAGCCCACGGGTGAGCCAGGGTCTATCTGCCTCAATACAGCTTCTCCCCGTCGGTCCTCAGGGCCACTTTCTAATCAGCCCCTAACACCACACGGAGGCTCCCGTCCTGAATCTTTTTTAGTTGCCCAAAGGGAGGAAAGGGGGAGGGGGAGGGGTCGTACTCCCGTCTCGCCGTAATTCCAGCGAGAATGTAATTTATAACCTCAGCAAAAAACACGTTCCAGGCTCTCCTGTTCACTCACTCGTTCAGCGCCGTTGGCGCGCAGGCGGAGGGGAGTTGCCAGGCCCGGGCCCTGCCTGGAGGAACCACGGGCCTGCGCGGGGGCAGGGATGGTGAGCCAGCGCGGCAGGGTCTCTGGGCAGGAGCCGCCACCGGGCAGAGGGCAGAGGGGCCGGGCCTGCGCGGGGAGGCGGGGGGAGGCAGGCAGAGGGTCGCCCGCCCAGGCTCACCTCGGGGTGCTTGCGCCGCATGTGTCTGCTCATGGAAGCCCTGGTGGACACCTTGGTCCCGCACAGCTGGCAGCTCTGGGCCTCTACCTTGTCGTGGGTGAGCTGCACATGCTTCTGCAGCATGTACTCGGTGACGTACTTCTTGTCGCACACGGAGCACGTCCACTGCTTGCCCACTTCCCACACGCACGGGGCAGAAGAGAAAGCATGGGTGGTGAGCGGGGTCAGCCTCTGCACGTGCGGCCAGGGTCGCCGGCCGGGTCACCCACCCAGTGGTCAGGCCGCGGGACAGGCAGCGCGGCCTCCTCCCCTCCTGGAGCCCAGTAGCTACTCCAATATCCGAAAATTCAAGTTTTGGACAATGTCCGAAAATTATGATGGGCTGACATTTTGGGGGCAAAGGGCCATCGTTAAGGCAGAACAGCACCAAAACATCTGAAAAGGCCTACCAACAGCATCACAGCCATGCCATCCCCACCGCGCACGCTCCGATGGCCTCAGCGGAGCCCGCCGGCGGGCGGCCGGCCGGTCCCCAGGTGCCCCGCTTACCCGTGTGGATGAGCTTGTGCGTCTCCATCGTGTTTCTCTCACTGAAAGTTTTTCCGCACAGTTCGCACATGAAATCTTTAATCCCTGCAGAAAAAGGCACACTTAATCTCACGTTTCACGAGTGTTTTAACTACACACAGAAGCTGTCTCGTCCTTGACACATTTCTGTATTTGCAGAAGCTGCACGGGAGGTAAATTACCAGGAGAGAGGAGACAGTAAGTGTTCATTCCCACATGCTACCGGCACACTGTGGCTTGAAAGCTACCCTATGGCTGGCACCCAGGCGAGCTCCTTCCGCAGAAGGGGTGACAAGGACAGTTTCAGCCCGAGGCCCTCAGACTGCCACAGTCTCAGCAGAATCCGATTCAATGAGCTTACTCTGCACAGCTCGCGACCAGGGAAGGCAGGGCCACGTTTACGACACGTTTAAGGCTTCCGCCCGCTTCACTCCAGTCCTGAGTGTTCAGATCAGTCACTCGGTCTGGGGTGACCACCTTGCCTGCCTGCAACCCGGCCAGGAAGCATCCAGGCATCGCACTGTTTCCCTCCCCAAACTGACAAGAAAGTGGTCCTTAGAACGCCTTTTAAATAAAGGTTTCCCCCCAAATGGAAAACTAGGTAAGTGATTTTCAGGGTCCACTCATCTTGGACTTATCTTGGCCCTGTATTCGGCGAACCCCTCGTATGCTCACTGTGGCTTTTGGAGGCCAGAGGCCACTACAGCCCAGCAGGTGCAGTGTTGTGAGACCCGAGAGGTGGTGCAGGACCCAGTCCCGGGGGAGAACGCTTCCCAGAAAAGGGGAAGTGAAACGGATGAGCTTCCCCAGGAAGAGAAGGGCAGCACACTTTTGTGAAAGCCCAGTGCCCTGGGGGCTGGCACTCCAGGGGGACCCAAAGCAGACCTGCGTGGTGGCCTGGACAGCCCTGGGGGCAGTGAGAGAGGTGGGCGCACGGGTGAGCTGGGCCAGGCAGTGGCAGGACTCAGGTGCGTTTTAGGGAGAACACGGAACCAACCAGAGGCTCCTACCAGAAACTTGAGACACAACTCCATCACCCAGGGATAACCGTCTCTCACTCCGCTGTCGATCTTAATCCTCTTATACACACACGTTCATCCACACACAAATGTTTTATAAGACAATGAACTCATTTGTTGTAGAGGCTGGTTTCTCTCCCACTGGACCACGAACGTCTGCGTAACTCAACATACGATTCCATCACTTGCAGGGGTGCACCCTCCCTCATGGTGAACACACCATAATTTAGCCACTGCCCTACTGATGGACACACCCAGACGACAGGATGACCGGCGTGTACACAGGCCCCGGGCCCTCGTCTGATGGTTTCTCCCTCACACGCTCCTGCAGGGCGACGGCTGAGTGGATGGGAAGGCGTTGAGGACAGCTAGCCGGGCGGTAACCCGAGCTCCGTGAGGGCGCACAAGGATGGAGGGCGCTTGCAGGGACCGGGAGCTTCTGAGAAACCGGCCACCTAAGCAACCCACCTCCGAGAGCTCGGTCAGGAAGCCCGGGGCGTGCTGGGAGCTAAAGGCCGCGAGGGGCAGCGGCGGCGCTTCCCCGAGCTGCGCCTGCACCGCTGGCCTGGTCCCTCCGCGAGGGCGCCGCGGCCGGGGCTGACTCACCCGTGTGCCGCTTGTAGTGCTTGAGCATGTTGACCTTCTGCGCGAACTTGCGGTGGCACTCCCTGCACTCGTACTCCTTGATGCCCTTGTGCAGTTTCATGTGGTGGCGCAGCGCGTGCTTGGTCTTCATGCCTGCGGACGGAGCGCGGCGGCTCTTCGGGGGCCCCAGCCCTGCCACGGACCCCAGCCCTGCCACAGACCCCAGCGGTGCACGCGCCCCGCCCCCTCGCCCCGGCACACACAGGTCGGGGTGAGAGCAAAGAGGGACAGGGCGCGGGGGGCTCGTCTTCGAGAGGGCCCCCTCCACCCGCGGTGAGGCGGGCCGTGTGTCCTCGGAGGCCACTTCCAGACAGCCCGTCTCGGCGGGCGCCCGCCCAGCCTGCACGGTCAGCGCTCCCAACAACAGGAGCTGCGGGTAGCCGTGCCCATCTAACCACTGTGACCCAACTGACTCAGCTGGTAGGCGGCTCCAAGTCTCCTGAAGTCCAATGTTGATCTTGGTGATGTAAGTGTTAATTAAGATTAGATACTTAAAGGTCCAAACACAGACTTTCCATCTACCTTCAGGTTAATGTAACAAAGTCAACACTGGCGGAAAGGAGCGAAATATGCTAAAACCTCCCTAACTCAGGCGCTGAAGAAGGAAAGACCCTGGTTTAGGGTTTGAATCACTGGTGGAGGGTCTTAGGCCAGGAGACCCACCAGGTGGGCAGTGCTGGACAGGAAGCGGGGCTGCAGGGTCTGTGGGCAAAGGGCGCCTGGGGGGCGGCCTTAGCATCTCATGGTGCGTGAAGTGTTTTGAACAAATCTTCCTGTGTACCCTTGGCTACTAGTGCTGTACGTGGAAACCCACCAGGCATGGCACAGGGGTCTTTGCTGCCAGGTGATGGGACTCTCATTACCTCTACAGCCTCCCATTTGAATAGGACCCGGTCAGGTCCAGAATTTGGGGGGAAAATGTAAAGTATTGATAATAATAAGCAAGGGCATTTCCTGCAACGTCACTTGGAATGATAAAAGACTGCACACCAAAAACCCCTGAAGATATAAATGAAAGGGTGTGGTTGTAGGAATCCACAGGATGGAATCCTGTCAAGGTTTTGAGAGGAAAATTAGGGCCATATTTGCCTGATATGAAAAGGTCACCACGATGGATATGGAAGTAAATAAAAAGTAAGGGATGGAAAGAACAGGTAAGCACAAGCATCTGCTTGTATGTGCCAGTGATCATAATATGAAAGTAAAATGACCACTGATAGTTTAGGATTACGGAAAATAAATACGGTAACCCAAGTGTTACACCTGCATGGTATTTAAAGTATTCAGAAGTCATGAAAGAAATCATGAAACTAAACATTAAATACACTTCAGATATAAAAATGTATATAACACAAGGTGTGCCACTGACCTCAGCGCCCACCCTGGGCGCCCCTCCCTGACCTGCCAGGGCTCACTGAACAGCACTCAGGTCTCAGGTGTGGTTGCCCCCTGCCCAGCTGGGTGGACGGCCCACCACACCTGTCTACCTACAACCCTTCCCACCTCTAACTGGCTCTAGCTCTGTGGGAAAGGGGCTGGACTTGCTGCAGCAAAGACGGGGGCTGCAGCTGGAGCTCCAGCCAGCAGGGCCAGTGCTGACATGCGTGGAAACTTCTAGAAATGTCGGTGCACAACAATCAAATGCTGCTTTTGAAGGGTATAACTGAGGTCCGAGGTGGGAATAACTTTACTTCGCATAGCCACTTGTGTCAAAAAAAATTTTTTTTTTTGGTTAGGTGCCTGGGTTACTTTTTCAATAAAACAATCTACACGCTGCACACAGTTACTCTGAAGAACAGACAAGAAGCTGTCACCTGTGCAGAGAGGGACTGGGGGCCAGGGGTGGGGGACTGTGCACTTTCTGCTTTTCTCTGCAGTTCTTTTAGCCTTCTACGTGTAATCTTATTTTATGAGTCTAACAGGGGTTTATCCAGTGAGTGGAATTACGGGGCATTTGTGTTTTCTTCGTACTTTCCTAAAAATCACATAAAGGAAGAAAGTAAAAACTTGACAGAATATTAAATTTTTTAAAAGACCCTCACAGCAAGGCAGATGAACTTGACCAGTCCCATATCTGAAGGAGGGCGGCACTGCCGCTGTCCACCACACAGAACACTGGCGGCCACTTGAAAGCACCAAAGATCTGCTGCCCCAAGTCTTCCTGACAGTTCTGGTTTGTTTTCAAACAGAAATGAGTTAAAATTTTACCATGGACTGCGATTACCTTTTTTTCCCTCATTCTACTTACTGATGTGAGAGATTTTATTAATGGACTTATTATCATTTCACTCATTTCACCTGACTCCAACAAAGGTCACAGCCATCACTGATAACAGTACTCACTGTGCACAGCTGGTCCTAGTTAGTGGTTCCAGTCGGCAGTGAGGATTTTGCACCTACACTCAGGCCACATGAGGCCCCTCAGATTATTCTGTACTTCACAGAGTTCTGTGTTGCACTGTTTCCCTACTTTTAAAACGATTTGCTCGTGCTTTGATTTCACCCCATCTCCCTGCCTGTGGACGGCTTTATTTTTCTCGCTGATCCTCTTCGGGTCTTACCTTTCTTGAGTAAATGACTGGGGTCGGGGCCCCCCCCCCCCCCCCGCCCCGTGTGGCCTGGCCGCCCCTCCTGCCAGACGGCCAGGTCCCCCCCACCTCCGTGCGCCCGCTCTCGCCTTCGCCCCTCCCTCCCCCTCCCCCCACACTGAGCACACAGCCCGGGTCCCCCCCACCTGCCCTCACCTTTCCCACACTCTGCGCACAGGTACTCTCGGATGTTGTCATGCACGCGCATGTGCTCCTTCAGCATGTCCTTCCTGGCAAAGGACTTCCCACACTGCTCGCAGGCGTGGCTTTTCACACCTACAGACAAAACAGGTCAGACTTTCACAGCAGGAGATCCGCACCCACGGTCACCACGGGACGGCAGTGACGGGAGAAGTGCGGCCCCACGCCTGCAGTTGGAGCAGTGCCCACTGAGCCCTCCTTCCCCGGTCTCCGCGGGGACCCAGAGCGGGGAGCGGTGGCAAAGACGGACAGAGAAGCGCCGGCAGAGAGGCAAGATGACCGCTGGGCAGGAAGCAGCCCGGGCCCCTGCGTCCTCCCAGGCACGGCTACCTGTGTGGATAAGTTTGTGCCGCTCCAAGTTTCCGATGCTGTTGAAGATACGCCCGCAGATCTCACATGGGTGGATGTACCTGAAACCAGGCACAGGCTCAGGACGCCCCGCACAGCCTCCCGGGGCCGTCAGCGGCCGAGTGCACCTGCCTGAGCGCCTCTATCGGCAGGTGGGGCATAAAAGGTGCTGGGCGGGGGACAAGGGACCCAGAGACTTCAGCCTCCATCTGGGCTGAATCGCCCCCCTCAAAATTCACACGTTGGTGTCCTGATTCCCAGCACTGCAGAACGCGACGGTGCTTGGAGATGGGGGTCGTCACAGAGGGGCTAAGTTAAAATTGAGGTCCTCACGACAGGCCCGAATCCAGCATGACTGGTGCCCTCATAAACAGGGACACAGAGACACGCACTGAGGGAAGGCCACGAGGACACAGGGAGAAGATGGCATCCACACGCCAAGGAGGGAGCCTGGGACAGATGCTCCCTCACGGTCACAGGAGGAAGCAGATCTGCTGCATCTAGAACGTCTGGCCTTCAGCACTGAGATAATACATTTCTGCTGTTCAAGCGGCCCAGTCGGCAGCCCGAGCAGGCTACTCGGCTCTAAGCAGGGCTGTTGCCTGACTTGCTTGGACACACAGCGCTGATTACGGGCTGTAGCCAGAAGCGGGACTGACATTCACGAAACCTAATTACTGCGGGGCAAAGGGGCTCTGGTCGTATGGAGGCAGGGCTGCAACGTGGCCCACTGTGCCGGGGATCTGGGAAGGCGTGCAACCTGGGAGAGGCCTGATGACCCACGAAGGAGCGAGGCCAGTGCCTCCCCCAGACCCGCCCAGGGCCCCCGAGGGAGGGAGAACTTGCTCTACGCTCCAGACGGCTGATTTGGGCACCTGCCTCTCTGCAAGGAAGCCAGCCCTCCCTCCGCACCACCCTAGACCAGGGAGCCCCTGCCCGGGGGGGCCTCACTTCTGCACGTTGGGGTCAGGCAGGTTCTCGCGGTGGATGACCATGTGGGCGTGGTAGGTGGCCTTCAGGGCGAAGCGCCGATGGCAGGTGCTGCAGCCATAACCCTTCTCCTTGTGCACCTCCATGATGTGCTTCAGGTACTCCTTCCCGCGGCCGAAGGTGAGCTGTGGACACGCACACTGCTCTCGTGTGCACGCAGCCCGGATCCCCGCGGCCAACGCTGCGCTGCCGCCACCCAGGCACCCTGGACGCCGGAGAGAGCCCGCTTCCCATTAGGAGAGGGGGGACTCCCGAGAGCAGGGCCAGCGGTGGGCAAAATCACGAAGCGCGGGGGGCACAGGAAGCAGACTCCGGTCCTCCTGGACCTGCCGGCAGGTCCCGCGCCCGCCCCCCCCAGCCAGCTTCCAGAACGCCCCTCCTCTCCCCCCACCTGACCCCATCTCTCCCCCAAGCCTGAAGGCCCTGACAGGTGCACGGTCAGGTGCTGTGCCGAGCCCACGGGTGCGAATGCCCAGGGAGAACGCAGGGACCTGCTGGGCCGTGGTGAACCACAGCTCCCAGGGCAGTGAAGCCGTACAGCAAAACTGCTGAAAACTCACCGCACCCCCAGCCTCTAAGCAAGGGTCCCTGCCGTGTGGGGGACAGGCGGAGGAGAGAGGAGCCCTGGCCTGCGCCCAGCTTTGTGGACACGGATCCCCACCGGTCAGCCACACAGGCACGTGTAGACCACACTGATTCTGAGACAGTGGTCCCCTGATGGCGGTGAGACCCGTATCCAACATCCCTGAGATGTGACGAGACCTGGGGCGCCTTCCGGGACATCTGTGAGGTGCCCCCCCATGCCAGAGCCCTGCAGCCCCAGGGCCGGAAGGCTGCAGGTCCAGTTACCTGACACCTTTTGCAGCTGTACTTGTGAGGCTCCGAGTCTGCGCTCTCGTCGGAAGTACCATCGTTTTCTTCCGAGGAGATCCCGATCTTGCCGATGAACTCCTCCCTCTGCTGGTCGTCCATCAGCGCGATGTCCTGGCAAACAGTCACCGCGTCCAATTTCTGACACGCTTGGCGCGAGCTTTAACCGGGGATTTGTAGGCCGGATGCAGAAACCGTGCCCTCGGGTCACCTGGGACACCCCACCCCCTGACGGTGGGGCCATCAGGCTTTGCTCACGTCCAGGCGACTGTGAACGCCAGGGCTGGAGCTGCTGGGAACAGTCACCGAGCTGGGACGTGTCTGGAGGGCGTGCTCTGCGTCCTCACATGGGCCTCGTCACCACCGACCCCTCCCTCCTTTTCCCTGGATTGGCACTTCTTCCCCCGCCCAACCTCGCAGCCATGACCCCGAATCCTCACTCCTCTCCCCACCACACCCACAAGCTCCCGTCTCACGTTCCTCAAAGGCAGGGAGGGAAGCAAATGCCTCCCGTCCCGACCCTCGACCCTCATTCTTCTCCCGGGAGGTGCCTAGCATGGAGGGGTTTTAACGCGAGCCCTGCAGGTGGGCTCCAGGAGACACGGCAAGAAGACTCCAGAGAGCTCACCGGAAGAGCGGCAAGGCGGCCACGCTGACCACGAGGGCCGGCCCCGCCCCCCCGTGCAGCCCGGGAAGGGGGACGCTAGCCCACCTTGAAGTGGACGTGGATGTGATCCCGGAGCACGTCCACGCGGAAGAACCTGCGCCCGCAGATCTCACAGGTGTACTTCTTGTCGCCGTGCGTCAGCAGGTGTTTGTTCATGTTGCTCCTGCAGGAGAACACCTGTGGGGAGGAGAGCCGGCTCGGAGAAGCCTGGGACCGTGCGTGCCCGGCCCACGGGGAGGCCGTAACCGGGCACAAAAGCGCAGCTTCCCCCCAGGGTTTGAGCTGCAGCAACTCCTCAGTGTTGGAGACACAAATAGTCACGTGGTGCTAGAATCCTGACCGTTTGACCGTTTAAATTGGTGCTTACATTATAGTACAGAATTAACCGTTGTCTAGTCTTCACCATAAACAGTATTCTGCTCAATTTCATTCAGCTCACTTAAATATTTCACTAGGATGGGGCCTACCAAGAAGGCTGTCACAGAAACAGCTGCAGTTTTCCGAAAGCGGATGTCAGAAGAGTTATGTCCTCAGTGGGTGTTCCGTATTTCATGCACAATTCACACCGCCTCCCCCAGTTTCTCAGCGCTTCCTGTCTAAAGTGATGAGTGTGGAGACTCGGTCATTCACCTAGTACTCATCCACTGGGTGTCCCCTCTGCTGCCCACAGGCCAGGTGCAGCTGTGCGTCCACCAGCAGAGCTCAGTGGACAAAACCAGCAGCAGAGATGGCCCCCAGGGCCCGCACTGATCTGAGAGAACGGCCTTCGCCCCAGTGGCCGAGTGACCTGGAGAGCAGGCCTCCTTAGAGCTCAGCCCGACCACGTGTGGTCTCAGGAAGAGAACACGCCATGAACGAAAGGGACACGGTTCACGGGGAACAGAGGCTAATGCCTTCACGGACACTGCTTTTCAAGATCTGCAGGTGACTTGCGGCCAACAGCCCTGAGACCACAGCCCAGGGAGGCTGGGCGGGAAAAGGAGTCAGCAGGGCAGGAAGATGGGCCTCCAGGGAGGGATGGAGGTTGCAGGTGTCCCCCGGCACCTGTGTTCTCCAGGCAGACGGGGCTGGAGACGGGATACTTGGAAGCAATGAAGAATTCAGTTCTAGAGACATTCAGGCTCTGGTCATCTGCTCTCTTGCTGTGGAGGAAGGAGCTCAGCCTTGTCTCCCATCGGCCACGATTTTCCACTAGTGCCACCCCGGCACGAACACTCCATCTCCAGCACCCCGAGCCATGTGCCACTGAGAGACCTTTCGCCTCTTGCCTGGCCCCTCCATGAGTGTTCAGTGAACATTTCACAGAATAAAAGGTGTCTGAACGTCAGTCACACGGCTGGCTGGTTTCACGTACACCATCTCCCAGGGACATGGAAGGGACACGGTGCCACCACTCCTCAGAGCCGGTGGTCAGTGGGCAGAATGAGCGGGACACGTGAACACGGGGCAGCCTCCACCCACCCCTGCCCGGGAGCGGCCCGGCCTGGCCACCCGGGCTCAGGCGTGTGTTCCGTTACCCCAGCTCCACTCCCCCCTCCAACCCCCAAACCCACACTAAGTCAGAGCCCCAGCGTGGAGCCCACAGGCCACGCTACCCTGCGGACCTGTTACTTTGTGGTTTGAAAAAAATCAGGAAATTTCCCATAAAAACACGGGTTTCCGTGTTCTCTTGAAAAGGTCAAAAGATCTGGCAATGCCGCCACGTGCCAGCTGGCTGGGCCGAGTCACAGCTGGCCGTCCACCGGGCCTCCACTTCTGGTGGCTGCTGTCACTCCAGGACCATGTGGCTCACGTGGGCTGCGCGTGGCTGAGAACCCGGGAGAGCCGAGTCACGGGAGGTGAGCCTAAGGGAACGAGCAACCGCCCCTCCAGCCGAGACCAGGCGTCTGTGCGCAAAGACCACCGCGATCTCACGTGGTGAGCTGACGTGGCCTGGACGGCAGCGCCCGGACACGGTTCCCTGTGCAGGGCTGACGCGGCCCGGGGCTGCTCGGATGGGGAGTGTACTGCGGACGTTTAGGGCCTGCTGAGGCGTCAACGCCCTCTGACGGCCAGCCCGACGCCCCGGACGGATCTGCTCGCTCGGGGCACTGGCATCCGTGGACTGGGCACAGAGCACACGGCTGTGGCTCCGTCAGTCTCTCACCGGGAAATGCTGCGGGGGGACCAGTGCTGGCCAGGAAAATAAACCCGGACATCCCGTCTCCGCCAGAGGCATGTGGCTCGGGGCGCTGGAGGTGGAGTGTTCGTGCCGGGGTGGCACTAGTGGAAAATCGTGGCCGAAGGGAGACAAGGCTGAGCTCCTTCCTCCACAGCAGGAGAGCAGATGACCAGAGCACCAAGTGAGGGGACGCCGCGGCTCGGGACACCAAGTACCCACTCGATCTTAACCTTCCCCCGCCCCCGCCACACGCAGTGCATAGGGCTCTGAGCCTTCCCGTAAGAAAAGGTGAGCTGTGTCCGGGCCCCGGCCCCAGCCTGCGTTACCTTGCCGCACACCGGGCACCCCGAAGGCTCCTTCCTGTAGCGCACCAGGTTCTCGGCACCGCCGGCCTCCGCGTCTTCCCTCTTCACCCGCCGCACTCCTGAAATGCCCCGCCCCCCGGCCGAGAGAGTCAGTACACAGGAGACCTTCCCGCATCAGCCAGGGTCACCTCCAGCTGATGGAGGACAGGGCTGCCCACGGGTGGGACAAAGGAGCGAGCGGGGTCACTCGTCCATGACGCACCGGCGCTCCGACACGCGACCCGGGAGGGAGGGCAGGCGGCCCGCACCACCGACTCCGGAACCCGGGCCGCACCTGAAACATGGAAATCCAAGGGCAGCAAGTGTCTTGAGCTTTCCACGCAGAGGAGTCAGAATGAGCTACTGGTAAGGGAGGTATCTGTGCTCAATCTGAAGCTCAAGGGAAAGGTGGGGTTCTCAGAGGCGTCTGTACGTAGGAGGGCATTCTTATTAAAAAGATACTAATATTCATCCTTCAAATTAAATCAGCCCAGTAAGGATCAAGGTAAAAAGTCAGAAAATAATAAATTTCTATGGTTTTAAGGCAAAAGTGATCATAATTGGGATCGAAACAGACTTAGAAGTTCTCAGGAAACAGGGAATCTCTGAATAAAAGAAAGAGAGAAGTTCCTTCCCACGGTCTCTCTCTACACTACTGACCCGTCCTTCTGGGACATTCCTGCACAGCTGGGCTCAAGAACGGCCAGCTCGCTGGCCTGGAGACAAGTACGTGACTCCCCAAAAAGCCCCCAGCGGCGTAAAGCACACAGGTCTGTACTGGGCGTGGATTACGCTTCAGTGTAGAGGGAAAAACCATGGAACGGCCACACAGCATTCGCTCATTCCCGAGGAAAATGATCTGAGTGCGTCAGCTGTAAAATGTTGTAAGATACAGTTGTAAGATGCAACCCACGTATCTGTCGATCAGGAAACACCTGACTTCCGGCAGTAATGGCGGCACTTCTGGGCCCGCCTGGGGCTTTATCATCAGGGTCCAGTTCAACCAGCCCAGCAGGTCGGCACAATGGCCGTCCCCACAACACAGGTGAGGACACTGAGCCCCAGCAGCATGACCAAGGCCACCCGGCCACTAAGTGGACACCAGGCGCTAAGTGCAGCACTGGATCACAGAGGGAAGGGGGTGGAGGTTATGAACCCACGTGAAGAAGGGCCAGGTAAAAAGGCAGAGTGCAAAGGTGATGCAGGACGTGACCTGACTCCAGGCTTGTTTTAAAAGCCATGAAGACACGTGTACATGCACAGCTGCATGCAATGGTCAGACTTCGCGTACAACTTCGTTTCCTGACCCTTTTCCCCCGACAAGCGTATACTTCATTTACAATTCTTTGTAAAATGATTTTTTTTTCAAACTTTTATAACAAGGTGCTCTGGTCAGTGAGTGCTTCTTACAGAGGCTGGTCAGCAAGAGGGCAGTGGGTTTTAGGGTAAAAAACTAAAATGTCAAGATCACTAAAACTAAAATGCTATTTTGAAAGAGGGTCTGTCTGAGCAGAGGGTCTTTGAGAAAGCCTCCCAGGTAGGGTAGGTGCTCAGGACACACCTGTGGCCCAAGGTCCCGGTCTCTCTCTTCTCTCGGGGCCCCTGCCTTCCCCTGCACAGCTCAGGGTCTGCCCTGTGGGGTCGCCCGCAACCCCACCTCATCCCTCACTGTGCTGCCTCCCACCTTCCCCCCCATCAGTGACCCCACTGAAGTCCATCTTTCTCCTGCGCTGGCCTCTCGTAAACCCACCACACGACAGGCAGCCCCCAGGCACCCCAAGCCCACCGCAAATGGCGAGGGTCATCGGGGGTCCCTGGGGAAACAGAGGAACAAGGGCAGAATCACTCACAGCCCCAAACAGCCTCCGCCTGAAACGTTCCGTCCCACGCACACGGCTGAGAGTGCACCACACCCCATGTGACATTTCATACACTGCTTTCCTCCTACTTTCGTATGGAAAGCATTTTCTCACAATATTAAGCTCTCTGAAAACAAAAAGATTTTGGTGACTGATAAAATTCAGTCCTACAAAGAGTCTGGTTTTCCTAACTTTCCCGCTGCGGAGCGTTTGGGGCGTTTCCAACCGTTCCCACTCGCACGTGATGCTCTAATCCCCCATCAGGACCTCTGGATGCCTGAGCCAATTCCCATCAGGTGGTGCCTCGCCAACAGGCCCCCACAGAGACGGGGCCAGCGTGAGCCCCGCCCCCTCCCCGCAGGCGCATTCACCTTCCAGGTGCCTCCTCTGGTGGTCCAGCATGACGTCCTTGCGGTAGAACATTTTGTTGCAGACTTCACAGGCAAACTTCTTGTCCCCGTGCTTCTTCTTGTGCTTGGAAAGGTTGCTGTTGGTGGAGAAGAATCTGAAACACATCTCACATTGGAACGTCTTATCATCTGTCGAGGAAGCAGGGAAACACACGGCAACTTTTAGGTACATGACACCGACTACAGGCTCAACATCATGGCCGTGGGACCGGCAACGAGGCACAGGAGGAGGGTGGGGCCAGGAAACAGCACCACCTGAGCCGACGAAGCCCCCCGGCCAAGCCAGGCCTGAGCAGCGTGCAGAGCAAACAGGTAGCTCACCTCCTTCCTCCCTGGCGCCACAAGCCTCCCACAGCATCTGGGGACTCGTGGCAAGGAAAGCGGCTGGACCACAGCTGTCCTTGGCCCTCACCCGCTCAGCCAACCTGACCGCGGCGCCGGGCCCTGCTTCCCGCAGCGTCAGATGAGCGGCCTCCTGCCCCGCCCCACCGCTCCTCCGAAGTCCACCCATCGCCTGCCCCTCCCCTCCCACGTGCCCTCCACAGGCTCCTCCCCCATCGCACAAAGACATCCCCAATGTCTCCCACCTGTAAACAAAACCGTCGGGTCCCTAGGTCCCCTTTGGGAGACGTGCACCCACCCCCAGCAAACACCCCCTCCCCACATTGAAGCCTTCAGAGATACCCACAGCCCGGTGTCCCTCCCCAGTCCCTCCCCAAAGGTGGCCAGACTGCCCCACCAGGGCCTCGGACAGGCCCCACCCTGCTCTCTCCCTCCAGGTGCCCAAGGCAGACCCTGGGGTGTCCTGTCCCCTCCCCCCAGGCCCGGGGGGTCTGCCCCCCATGAGCACAAGCACAGGGGCCATCAGGGCATCTGCCCCGCCCTGGCACCTCTCCAGCTGTCTGCCTTGGCCCCAGCCACCCGGCCTCCGCCCCTGGATTAGGGGGTCTCGGGGCCTTGGTTAGCGCTCTCCACTCAGACTTGTCCTCTGCCCTCAACCCCGCCACGCCCACCCTGCTCCTGCCAGGACACGTTAACTGCCCACGGGTCCGTCACCTACGCCAGCCCCGAAAGTCAGCCCTCACTGCCCACGGCCGTCCTGCAGCACCGGGAACACCGTCCCGTGTCACCTGAGCGGGTGGGCATGACAGCGTGCGTCCCCCTCCAGAGCGAGGGCCTGAGGTCACACCGTGTCGCCCTCATTTCTGGGCCTTTGGCTAAAGCCCACGTGCCACTTCCCACAGTCAGCAAGTGTTTGCTGAATGCGCCAATCCCGGAGGCCGGAGCCAAGTTTCGTTTTCTACAGTGACTGATCGCGGTCCTCACTCTGCTGCACAGCGGACTCCCATGTCCGGGAATCGCAGCCTGGGCGCTGCTGACACTCTGGCCGGATCGCTGCGGGAGGCTGTCCTGTGCCCTGTACGTTGGGCAGCATCCCCCAGGCAGCTGTTCCAACCAAACCGGCTCCAGACTCTGCCCAGCGTCCCCGGGGACTCAGGCCTCAGCAGTTTAACTTCTGCCAAGTGGACCCCGATATGCAGCCTCAGGTGGAGGCCCCGGGGTATCCACACTCCCCTGTACACGCGTTTGTGTGTGTGCGGTACCTGTGCTTATCATGCAAACATTTCCATGCTGATTTTAGTGGTTACATAATTTTCCACCCAGTTCATACATTGTAATTTACTCCATCTCACTGCTGTGGCCTCTCCCATTGCGGAGCACAGGCTCCAGACGCGCAGGCTCAGCGGCCATGGCTCACGGGCCCAGCCGCTCCGCGGCATGTGGGATCTTCCCAGACCGGGGCACGAACCCGCGTCCCCTGCATTGGCAGGCGGACTCTCAACCACTGCGCCACCAGGGGAGCCCTACTTCATCATTTCTGATATTGTAGGTAATGTAATGATGCTCTTCCTACTAGATGTCCTCGGCACGGATCCTTAGGAATGAGACCACCAGAGATGAGGGCGTTTGCCATCCTGCTCTGCTCATCAGAGATGAAGGGCCGCGCCTTACAGGGCCGTTCCATGGGATCACTGGAGACCCCGCCCACTCTGGGCCTGCTAAACCACACAGGTAAGCCTCCCTCCTGGGCAGGTGGCCCACACGCCCAGGAACCCGACAGCCGTGGAAGGTGCAGCGCGGCCCTTGGACTTTCGCTTCTTCTCTCTAACGGGTCGAGTCCCTCCCAGCGTAGGGAGAGGGCCCACCTCTAACCATCCCCAACAGCTCCGGTGTGGCCTTCGCCGGGTGACAGCAGAGCTGGAGCAGCTGTCTGGGCCAGGCTGTCACCACGGTGGCTTTTCCTGCCATGGCGTCCACAGGTCACCAGTTCAGGAATCCAGGCAGGTGCTCCACGACAACTTTCTCGCCCCTCCCCCCGCCCCTCCCCCCCATAATCCCTGCTGCCCTCGAGGCCTACACTCACGTTTTATCAAAATGCAGTAACTGAGAACAAACACCTGTTATGTGGTGGGTGGTCAGGCCTCTCAGCATGGCTGTGCCCCGCTCTCTGTCTGCCCCCTGCCCAGCCAGTGCCCGCCTCACCTCTACACGCTCCCCTGTACTGCTGCCCCCTGCCCCAGCTGGTGACTGTCTAATCCTCAGGCCAGAAGGCTCTGCCTTTCTTCGAGTTCATTAAAGGAGACACCTGCCCTGCTGGTGGTCCTTGACCTGAGGGGATGGGAGGGGTGTGCCCCAGCCGCTGGTTTCCCTGGTAACTGATAAGCCAACCTGATGTCAGTTGCCCCTATAAACTGCAGCCTCCTTCTCCCCTGAGGGGGGAAGATCTCTGCCTGCCATGTGCTGCCTGCCCTCTGCACGTGGCGGGGTGCGGCTTCAGGACCTTTGTTTTGGACGTGTAAGGTTCCCCCGTCCAAAAAACCATTGATGTCTCTGTCGCTGTCTCTGGGCTCTTTCTTTGGTCTCGAGGTTGGGCAGCTCCAAGGCTTGCAGGCCTGGGGGTGCAGCCCAACACGTGGGCTCTGGTGAAGGAGGGGGCACAGGGTCACCCGGAGGCGGGACAGGGGATTTCCGGGGAGACCCTATCTTGCCTGAGGGCCTGGACATGAGCCTCTGCTCTCCTCCAGCTCCCTCAGGAAGGTCGAGGGCAGACGAGGGCCACCTCACACCCAGGACAGGCCCTGCTGACTGAAAGCTTGAGAAAAAGCCCAGCAGACCCATCATTTCAAACCTCACACAAATCCCTGACTTCATGGTCTACGGAAGACACATTCTCCTAACATGAACACTATTATAAGAAAGTACAACAGCCTGCAAATGATATATTACACAAATGACCTCAGCTCCCAGGTTTATCCTTTGTCTTCCATCCAAAACTTCTGACCTTTGAAATTGTGGAGAAACTGCATTTCAATTCATTGCTGCTCTGTTAACTTCTATATAACGAAGACAGACAAACGGCTGGTTTAACAGAACTTTTTGCTGACACGTAGCAACTGCTTCTTTGACTTAGTACCTTCTGTTTCATTTGTGTCCAGAGAAATAAAGATAAAAAGAAGAGAACTTCTCTGCCTCAGCCTCCAGCGGGCCTCAGCAAACACCCGGGCCGGGACAGGGGCATCGCCCTCCGCTCTGATGCCCACCCACTGAGCTCGTGCAGAACCGAGCGTGGCCTCATGGAGCGCCATCCTGCCCGGCGATGAGCACAGCTCGAGGGTCCTCTGACTGATACGGCATCAAAAGACTGGTGGATTTCCCCCGGGTTTTGGGAACACCTGGGCTGCGGAATGCAGGTGGTGTAGCACCTGGAAGTGCACCCGGAAGCTTCCAAGGCCACTTCATGCCATGACTGCCGCTCGGGGCAGCTGGAGCTCAGGTGAGACGAGACTCACCTGCCACTCAGAAAAGCCCCGCCCTGGGAGCGAGGCTCTGTGGACGGAGGAAACCAGCCGCAGTTTCCAACAGGAGCCCTCAAAGCGGAACAAGCAAATGAACCAAATGAAGGGACACTGCAGAGGCTGCAGGAGCGGGTGCTGGCCACCGGCAGGGAGGGGCAGTGGCGATTTAGGTGACGGCATAAGGGTGCCCTGAGATGCGGGCCAGCCCCCCGGCACCCTAACGAGAACCAGCACAGAGATACAGAGTGACCGGTGACACACACAGAGGGCTCGACAGGAAGGGGGTTCGGAATCAAAGGTTAACCTGGCAGGTCTCTAAGCTGACTGCCACTGGTATCCACCCCCCAGGTGTGCGACGATGCCTAGAAGAGGGGGCCGAAAAGACAACAGCGACCCTCCGCCAACCCCATCCTCCCTGGGTGGGAACGCAGCCGCCCGCCTTCCCCCACGGGGCACAGGGCAAAGAGCCGCGGGGACAGGACACGGGCCTCCCCTGCAGGCTGGGCTCCTGCACAGCCGTCCCCTGGCCGTCCCCGGGGATTTACACATCGCGTACACTAGCCAGCTGCGCGCTTGGCCAGACACGGGGCCTGAGACCCTCGGCCAGGCCCAGAGACCCGTCCCGGCCGCCGGCTGGCCCAAGCACGCCGGCCTCAGCTGCACGCAAGCAGACGGGGGTCCGTGTCACGAGTGGGGACCGGGGACAGCGGCAGGCTCAGCGGAGGCCGGTGTGTGCGAGGGAGCGGCGAGGCCCTCACCTGGACCCAGGCGGGGTCCTCGGAGGGAGGGGAGCGGATGGCTGAGGAAGCTCCTGCTGAGAGCGAGGCGGAAGCCCAGCCCTCCAGCCGCGACCCCACCTCTTCAAGGACTGCTCACCGGGTCCCAGAGCAACCCTACCACTCACCATCCTCGGCGATGACGAAACCCCCCTGCTTCACCACGGGCTCAACTGTGGCCCATATGTGGCTGCTTCGGAGGAATAACAGGATTTGAAATAAATCCCCGTCTAAAGGGAAAGTTTCGGTCTCTTGAGAGTAAGTAACAGCTGCTTGAAGCACCCCGAACGGCGGGGAATGTTACAGGTGAGGACACCTGTTAAATCCACCTTCACCCTCTGCCGGAACACCTGGTCCCCACCCCGCCAGGTACCCGCGCCTCAGCGCCGGGCGGGGCCCCTCACCTGTCCGGCAGTTGTGAAACTCCAGCGCGCTCTGGATGCGGAAGGTCTTCTCGCAGGTGCCGCACCGGTACCTGTACTCGCTGTCGACCTGGGGTGGGGGGGGCGGGAAGCGGGGGCAGCTGGGACGCGCCCCCTCAGGGAGCGGGCCCTTCCCCTGCTACCCTCCTGCCCAGCGTGGAGCGTGAACCGTCTGGCCGTGCCCCTGCCCTGAAAGGGAGCCCCGCGCCCGGGTGAGCTCGCTGCCCACGCGGGCCTCTCGCTCGGCCCGAGCCCTGGTGGCGCGCAGCCAGGCCCAGACCCACCTGCCGCTGCCCCCACCCCGTGACTCCTTCATCAGCGCCAACGGGCTGCTCTCCTCCGTCACTGGACAGCAGCGGCCCTTCACCCACCTCGTTCCTGCTATGCTTGTAGGAGACGTGCTGCTTCAGGCTCTCCTTGCGGCTGAACAGCTTGGTGCACTCCTCGCATTTAAACAGCTTGTCGCCTAAGGGACGAGCAGGGACAAGCCGCGCGCCACTGCTCCAGGCGCCCTGAGACCACACGCCCGCCTGGGGCGCGCCGCCCGGCTCCCAGCCGCCCGGCGCCGACGTCGCGGGGACTCACCGTGGGAGCGCACGTGCCTGCTGAGGTTGCTGCTGTTCTGGAAGACCTTGCTGCAGATGCTGCACTGGTAGACCCGCCGGTGCTCCCCCAGCTGCCGCACCAGCTTCCGCCGGATGCCGTGGCGGCTCGAGAGAATCAGGCTCCTCTTGAGGGTGATGCTGCCGCTCTGATGGTGCGGGAACCTGCTGGGTTAGACACACCAGCCGGTGAGACCGGTGGGAGACAGGGTGGTCGGAGAAAAAAGTTCAAGGTCACAGTCACCTTGGAGAGAGGCCCTGGCAAATCCTCCTAGCCGGACACGAGAGCGGGGGGCCGTGCTCAGGCGCACCCCTGCAGCTTTGGGGCACCTGGAAGGGACAGACACGCTGAACGCGCAGTGCCACCAGTTAGCTTTTCCTGTACCGGCCACTCAGCTCCCTGGGCGTTAACTCCGGCCACCGGGAAGCCTGGAGCTCAGTTGGCGTGCCGACCGGAGTAACCATAACTGTTCTCTTTTTTTTCACTTGCCTCTACCCTGTTTCATATTTTCCCCGAACCTGATTTTTCAAACTTCTTCTCCCTATGAAATGTGTTTCTGACGGTAAGTTACCGAAACCCTCTGGGCAATAAGATGGAGTATAAATAAGTAGGTCAGGTTCACCATTTCTGACATTGCTCTGCTCTGTTTTCAGTTTTTCCACAGCTTCCCGAACCCTAAAGGACCAGGCGCGTTTTGGCCCCGTGGGAAAAGGGCTGGAAAAAAATACTGCCACCAGCTTATTCAACTCCAGGGCAAAAAACTGCCTAAGAATAATAACTAAAATACAAACATTTTCCTCGTTCATAAAAAGTGGAAACACACAGAGCAAGGTGTTAAATTTACAGAAATTTAAATACAAACTGTCCTATCATAGCAGCATTTGTTCACAGCAGCCAAGGCAGAAGCAACACCAGTGTCCTGGATGCAAGAATGAATAAACAAAATGTGGTCCATCCCACATGATGGAATATTATTCTGCCTTAAAATGGAAGGACATTCCGACACCTGCTACAACACAGATGAACCTCGAGGGCGTCACGTTAAGTGAAATAAGCCAATCACAAAAAGACAAACACCGTGAGAGAACACTTATATGAGGCCCCTGGAGACACAGGTACCTCCTCTGAGCTCTTCACAGAGACAGAAGGCAGAATGGTGGGTGCCAGGGGCTGGGGAGGGGCTGATAGGGAGTCAGTGTTTTTCGTAAGTATGGAGTTTCAGTTTGGGGAAGATGAAAAAGTTCCAGAGATGGGCGGAAGGCTGCACTGCAAGGTGAATGTATTTAAAACCACCGAATCGTACACTTAAAAACGATTAAGATGGTAAATTGTGTACTATGTGTACTTTACTACAGTAAAAAATAGTTTTTAAAATTTTAAGCTATTTCACAGTGGATGCGCTATTAACCCCCTGGGCTCCAGAGTTCCTGCTGCTTCCCAAGCACATACGTTTCCTACAAGAAGTAAACCAGCCCCTCTCATCCGGCCTTCCCTCTGGAATGGATTAGCCGCCACGGCGCCTTTGCCTGTGAAGCCGGGCCCACGCGCTGCTCTGGGACATACTTTGGCACTGAGCTCACGTCGCTGGGGGTGGCGGCCAGCTTCCCCAGAACCAGCTCCATGATCCGTTCGTCCGGCGACGCAGCCACAGGCTCGACCTCGCTCATGATCTCTGCCACTTGTTCTGTGTGGAGGGGACAGGACAAGCCGTGTCATCACCAGGGCCGGGGATGGAACACACCCGAACCAAGATGACAGGCCCGAGGGGCCAGAGCCAGGCCAACGCTGCAGACACAGATCACAAGATTGACACGGGAAAAAAAAAACACAAAAAAACTAGCGATAGTTTAGAATCCACACATTTACCTGCAGATTTAGAAAAGCAAAATATTATTCTTAACTCAAAACTGGAGTTATAATCTGTGGTTAAGTCATGACACTATCTCAATCCCTTTCGTACCACCTAAAACTGAAACACTTTGACATACAGTGGGACCTTATAACCTAGCTAATTCTGTCCTGACAGAGATTTGGAAATATTAATTTTTGTAATCACACAAGCCATCTTCAGTATGTTCAAAAGTAGACCATCATTTTGTACAAGAGTCAAATATCAAATAACCACAGTGATAGGGACCCAGGCCTGAACCTCTGGACAAGTGAAATACGGGAAGGTCACATGAAAAGATTTAGCCACTTCACCTACTGTGACGTCTTCCTGATGCAACTCAGAATGAGTGAAATAATCATTTAATAAGCTTTTCACCTCCTTCTCCTCTACTTGTTTATAGAGAAGTAGGGAAACTGTCCAGGGGAAGTTTAAACCACTTCTCCTGAGAACATCATGTGAGGGCTGCTCCTCTGAATTCTCTTTAATTCCAAGAAAGGATAAAAATTTCTTCTCACTCTCGCAAAAGAAATCCTGGGCTACGGCAGACGGCGAAAAGAAAAACTGCCCAGTGATCAGTAAGGAAGGTACTGAGGGGACTCACTAGTGTCTGAGCATCATGTCTGGTCCTTACGTGCGAGACCCGCCAGGAATCCTCTGGCACCAGGCACTTCTGGCAGAGGCCACGTGAGGGCCGAGGGGACATGGCATTTTGGGAATCCCACACCCGAGAATGAGGGCCCAGGGTCCCTCCAAGCTCAACTGAGGCTACTGTACAGTCAGAGAACGGCTTTAGCCACGGCCTGGAAGCCAGCTGCACGACCGTCCACAGGGGACACGGGAGCAGACGCTGGGGCAGCCACATGATGGACCAACACGGCTCGGCAGCAAAGGAGAAGAGGCAGCGGGGACCCGACTGCGGACGAGCCTCCCCTACACGCCGTGCGGGAGATGCCGGGCACAGAGACAGTGCCCAGGACGGGAACGCCAGTCCACGCGGAGACAAGCCGGGAAGCGGCTGGGGGGAACGGACATGCTCTCTGTCCTGATATCCGGCTACACAGGTGGACGCGCTTGTCAAAGGTCACAGCCGGCACAGCCTGCCAACCGCACTGCGAGTCGCCGTGCGCGAAGAGCTGCTTCAGCGAAAGAGAAGGGCTCTGTGCCGAGTTCTGCTACCCGGCATGGAGGCAACATGGCCTCAGGTCCCTCCCCATTCCCTTCACTGCTACCCCAGGAGCGGGACCAGCCTCCCCTGCGGGCCCCTCCCCCTCACCTGCGGGCTCCTCGCCTTCCACGATAACTAGAGGCTGCTCTGGCTTGGATGCTTTGGGTTTTCTCCCCCTTCGAGGCTTTTTCTTCTGCTCTTTGGCGGCACTGACACTCTTGGGAACTGCGGGAGGCTCCCCCCGGGGCACGTCTGCTTCCTTCTCTGCCTCCGAATCCTGCTGGCCGGCTGGGGGGACGCTCCTGGATTGTTCCAAATGGCCCAGCAGGTGCTCTGCAGGACAGGGGAGCAAAGGCATAAGGCAGGGCGTCCACTCCCAACCTCCATTTTGTTTGTTTTCAATTTTATTTGCTAACAGGGTGCCCTCTGCAGAGGCAAATAAACGTTATTTCTTCTGCTTTGAAAATGACAGCATTTCCACTGCACCAAACACAACCACCATTTTAAAGTCAGTCAGGCGACAGAAGCCGGGCAGTTTTGTAAAATCAGGTACAGTTTTGTGAAAACTAAAAGCCTGGGTGCGCATGTGTGAGCAAAGAGAAACTGTGGAAGAACACAGCGAAAAGTAACGTGGGTCTCTCTACGGTGACCTTACAGGCAACTTTTATATTCTTCTCAAAGCTCATTTAAGCTTTCTAATTTTTCTACGATGAATATATAATACAGTTATTTTAAAACGTAGCCTTTGAAGAGGAATAGTGATAAACATTCAATTCATAATGAACAAAATTGTCTTTCAAAACACTGCGTGAAGGCCAAAAACCTTTATTTTCAACGGAAGAAACCTCAAAGACCTCCCAGGGAAAGATAACTGGGCCACACACAGGAAGCAGACAGAGATGGCCATGCTCCCTGAATGAAGGTGAGCTGGGCTCAGGCTGGCTGGAGGGCGGGGCACCAGCAAGAGGACGGAGGAGTGACCCACGAGACAGATGGGGACCAGCGCCCTCCAGGGACCACTGGCGCCCGCCTGCACATTCGGCCAAGGAGGCATTCTTCCCGTCGACAACCTCGACTGGCTCACACAGGCCTCGGTGTGAAGTGGCGGCTGTCTCCCCACTTGTTCCACGCTCAGGGCCACTGTGCAGCGCGAGTGCCCTCGAGGGGCCAGGGAAGGAGAGGGGTGAGGGATGAGGGAAGGAAAGTTTTAAAGCAAACAACGTTACGTGCTGCGTGTCACGGGAAGCGTCTGGAAGTTTGGCCACGTAGCAGAACAAGCTAACGATGAGGCCACCTGGCTGCAAATGCTTGGGAAGGCTACAGAAATAGAGACTGCCCCCCACACCAAACTAATGCTCTGCTGAGCTTCAGAGAAAGGAAACAAGACCCCTCGCTGCCAGACACACAGAGAACTTCAAGCCAAAGCACAGACCCCGGGAGGAGGCCTGGAAGACACAGGCTGGGAGCTGAGCTGCTCCCGCAAAGCCAGGGAACTCCCGTGTGTTCTGCCACCATCCCAGAGGGATGGCGTGGAAGTGACAGAGCACGTCAGGGGGAGCGCAGCGCGGGACTCGCCGGCGTCTGGCTGGGCAGGCACCTGCCCCTTACCATTCAGCAGCTGCAGCTCAAGGAAGGCGGCCGAACACACCTTGCACACCCACCGGCTGGGTTCCGCCTCCACTGGCGTGCTGCTCTCTGGGGTGCCTGCAGCTTCAAAAGACAAGAGGGGGAGGTGGTCCAGCAGCTGCTCTCCCTGTGCAGCCCAGCCCAGTGCAGGGCACACCTGCCCTCGCAGGAGGTGACAATGACAGCGGTGACACCGCTTGGGAGCAGGTCCAATGCTCCAGGCACCGTTCTCGGCGTTTTACCTGCACGGACTCGCTCGTGCCCGTGAATGTCCCCATTTCACAGATGAGGAAGCCGGGCACAGAGCACTGGAACCAGGGCCTGACGCAGGGCTGTCACCAGTCACGGAAACGTGGCCTCCTCCCAGAAGCCAGTCTGGTGGGACCAGACACCATCCCCCCCATACAACTTCAAGAAAAGAAATAATGCATGCTACGGCCCACATGGAATTCCCCAACCTCTCACTGGCTCATGTGACAAGAAAGGGCGGAACCCCAAACAGCCAGGCCATGTGCCCTGGTGTGGCCACGGCTCCTGCCCAGTGCTGGCCAGCAGAGCTTTCTGCAATGACAGAAATGTTCTGTAACTGCCGGCCAGGGGGGTAGCCACGTGTGCCGAGTGCCCCTGGGGAGCTGGACTTTCACTTTTATTGAATTTAGGTTGAAACAGCTGCCTGGGGCAGGTGCTTACTGAGGAGGCAGTGCCCCTAGCCCTCCCGGCACCCCCGTGGGAGTCTGGGGGCGGGGGGAGATGACCAGGGTCCATGGAACACAGAGGAAGACCCTGGTGGCTCAGGGTCCTTTTCAAAAAAAAAACTACCGATGCTCTCGTGAGACCTCAAAGTTGGGGATGTAATGGAGAAGAACCTTTGTATTCTGCTACAAGTTAATCACTAAAGGGATGTTGCCTATAAGCTTAAATGATACCTAATGGCCCCTCACTGGGAACCCTGCCTCCCAGGTAAAGACAGTAAAGCTAAAACACCTTTGTTTGGCTCACAGGAAACATCCTGACCAGGCTCACCTGTGAATGGCTGCAGGAAGGAGGAAATTAACATCCCCTGACCGGAACCAGGAGACGCCTGATTTTACTCCCTCCCCTTTTAGTATGAAAGCAGCCTGAATTCTAACTCAGCTGGTTCTTTGGGACACGAGTCCACCAGCTCCTCGGTCTGCTGGCTTTCCAATAAAGTCGCTCTTTCTTGCCCCAGCTGGTCTCTCGATTTACGGGCTGCTTGTGTGGTGAGCAGTGCGAGCTGACTTGGCAACAGGGACATATTCTAAGTGAATGTATGTTCGTGATGTCCTGGCCCAGGAAGCTGATTCGCTAAACCCCACGTGGCAGCCTGTCAGGGCTGGACGGGGGCCACCAGCTCTCACCACCACCTCCACTCCCGTCTCTGTGCAGCTTGTGTTGACAGGCACGACCCATCGCAACCCTCCGGGGCCACTTGCAAAGCAAAACCGTCCAGAAGAGCGACTGCACACGCGTTCAGAACCAGGAAAAAGCACGCCTCTGTCTGTGTCAAAAAACAGCGACAAGGGCTTCCCTGGTGGCACAGTGGTTGAGAGTCCGCCTGCCGATGCAGGGGACACGGGTTCGTGCCCCGGTCTGGGAAGATCCCACGTGCCGCGGAGCGGCTGGGCCCGTGAGCCATGGCCGCTGAGCCTGCGCGTCCGGAGCCTGTGCTCCTCAACGGGAGAGGCCACAGCAGTGAGAGGCCCGCGTACCGCAAAAAAAAAAAAACAAAACAAAAACACAGCGATAAGGTTGCAAAGGATGGAAGAAACAGACGGAGACCACTGCTACAACCGTTTGCAGGCATTTTCTGAGTCTCCGTAAGATAACAAGAAGAGAGAAATGTAACTGCAGTATGAAATTTTTGGTTATACCAAAGCCAGAGCAGAAAGAGTGGAGAGTACGCAGCCCAGAAGCAGGGCGCCGTTGTGGGGTGTGCCCTGCGGCCCAGCCTCCGCTCTCCTCTGTGCCCATCTCTGGGAATCCACAGAAGAGAATCAGCAGGAGATCAGGGCCAAATTCCTGCATCTCACTCACCTTCCCAAACACACACGGTTCTAAAGAGGGCAAAGCACTCTTGCACAGGAGTTTCAGAGAAGGAGGCTGAGCAGGGGGTAGCTGGCAGCGGACACTCGGGAATAAACGCAGTTTCTTTTCATCTGAGTGAGCTGCTCTCTCTCCACCACGAGGTCCCTGCCCTGAATGGAATTCACATAGGCCTGACCTGTGACCTGACCTTCGGCAGGAAACCCATCTCTTCAGCCTGGTGTCCTGAACGCTAGGTCAACGGGACTAACTAGAAGAAGCAGTCATGACTGCTGTCCTCCCACCGAGGGCAGTACTCTATTTTCCAAAAATTAGCTTTCAAAGATAAGACTTGGGCTTCCCTGGTGGCGCAGTGGTTGGGAGTCCGCCTGCTGATGCAGGGGACACGGGTTCGTGCCCCGGTCCAGGAAGATCCCACATGCCGTGGAGAGGCTGGGCCCGTGAGCCATGGCCGCTGAGCCTGTGCTCCGCAACGGGAGAGGCCACAGCAGTGAGAGGCCCGTGTACCGCAAAAAAAAAAGACTTAAGAAAAAATTAGCCAGCAGTCAGAAGGCAATTCTTCATCCCAACCACTCACACGCCCAGCAAAAGAGATGTCTATGCAAAATGAAACAGGAGCTGGCAGTGGAGAGACAGGGAGAAGGCCCACAGTAGGACGGTCGGCAAAACGTGTGATGAAGATCAATGACGTGGTAATCAGCATGTACAGCAAGACCTCAACCACGCAGACGTGCACGGCTTTTTAAACAACGGAAAAGAAATGGCAGAACTACAGGGACAGAGGGTAGATGCTCGCCGCCAGGGCTGTACGAGGGAACCGTCTGGGGTGCCGAGAACGTTCTACATCTTGATTGTGGTGGAGCTCACACAACTGCAGACGTTTGTCCAAACTCTGACCTGTCCACCTAAAATCGCTATTTTATTGTTTGTTAACTACACGCCCACAGTGCTGTTTTTTTAAAACTATTAGAAAATGCTAATCAAAAATGCTAAGAGTCGTTAAGATGGTGATGTTATATGTGATTTAAAAGTTCCCCAAATGTTATGAAATGTACTTATATTTCATTTTTTTCACTAGAAAGGTGATTTTGAAACTCTGATGCTGGCAGCCGACCCTGAACCCCACGCACCCGCCCGCTGAGACCACTGGGCTTCTGGGCCTCCTCCTGCATCTGCCAACGGGCCCAGGTGTGTGTAAAGAAGAAGAACCAGCCTTAATGGGAGCTCAAGGAGAACACGTGATTAGAAAAGTAAATCCACTACCAGAAAAAAAAAACGGGTTAATTTTGAAAGGAGTGTGCCAGGAAGAAGGAAACCCACTTCCCTCTGTATTTAAGTCTCCTCTGCCCGTCTACAAACTGGCCGATCTCTATGGCAAACATCTATGACGAGGATGTCTGAAGCAGATTCATAAAGAGAGAGAACTAATGAGTCTTGGCAGTTCCGATGCTCACCTAGAAAGTTGATAAATAACGTAGAGGCAGACTGCTCCTTGCCCACGGGCCCCCTCAGGACCCTTCTGGAACAAACTGCTGGTTCCTAAGGCCCCTTCACCTTGCTCTGACCCACCCGCGTCGGGCTAAGGGTGCAGCGCTGGCCACAAAGGCCCCGTGTGATCTCACGGGTGCGTCCAGACCAGAGGCGGGATGGGGAACGGCCTCATCTCAGGAGGGGCAGAGGGGAAGCCACCTCCCTACCTGGCAGATCTGGATAATGAGAATCCTGCAGAAAGCCAGCTTTCCACAGGTTTCCAGGCCTCTCCTCACAGGTCTCATCTGCTCCCGTTACTGGGAAGTGGGCACTCGGTAACCCAGTACTCCCAACGCACGGCTGCCGATGGGTGAGGTGTTCAAAACACACACCTGAGACCGCCCTGGGCCCTGGGCACCCGGATGGGTGGGGCTGGAGCAGCGTTCCAGAAGCCTCTCTGTGCCAGGAGGGGACGTCAGGGGAGGGGAGAGGGGCCTGGGGAAGGGGCTGGGCAGGAGGCCAGGGTGGTAGGAGACAACACGGGGGTCCTAGGGCGGCTGCCACGTCCCTAGGTGCAGCAATGGTACTGGCGCCAGCAGCACTGCCGGGGCCAAGCGGGCGCTCAGCAGGGGGCTCTCCCAGGAAGAAAAGAAACAAGGAACCCAACTAACCAGCTAGTTAACAGCAGTCAGGAACTTTCATCACATCGCCAAGAAATATGTGCTTGACATTCGTCCCGAAACAGAAAGTGAAAAAGATCATAAAAGCTATTTCTAAACTTTTCGAGTACCTAAGTTGCTTATTTATTTCCCCAATTCAGAAGCTAGTTTAGGGTGGCCACGCTGCTTGCCTGGTTATGAACAGCGCCCTACATTCTCAGAAGCCCAGAGGAGGGGCCCCAGCTACCCTAGTGTCCTGCTTGAGAACGGTTAGAACGGAATCCGGAGGCAGGTATTGGACAACACGGTCCTGGGCTCATTTCATGAAGATCTATGCTCTCCAACGCAGCCCCAGATTCAAGAGCCCTCCAGAGGCAAAAAGCCAACAACAACTGGAACTCTGATAAGGGGAGGTGACCTCTGTGTTGACTTTGACCTTGAGAGCCATGAGGGGCATGCATGCCACCTCCAGCACACAACTGACAAGGTCAGACTCTACAAGCCAAACCCTGACGTGCAGTCTGGGCTGGTCCCGGGACACGCACGGGGTAAGGAATCGACGACACGAGAAAGCCAGGTCAGGAAGATCCTGGTGACCCTGGCCAGCACCCAGGGAGGTGGCCTCACCTCGGTGCTTGAAAATGACTCCTGACCCCGTGGAGTGCCACTGCAGGTGCCTCCCAGGGGCAGGGGCAGGGCCAGGTACCCGGTTTTAGCAAACCCTAGGGGCTAGAGCAGTCTGGTGAAAAACGCAGGGTCTCTCCAAATTCTTCCTGCCCCCTTTACTATCAAAATAAAGGGCCGTCAAACCCAGTCTCCCTGCAAATATCCCTGCAAAGATGCAAACCCTCTCCTGCCACCAGACCCCGCCTGCAGCCATCTGTCACCCCCAGAGCACCCCCCAGAGGCTCCACGGGCCACCACCACCCAGCCAGCCTGCAGGGACTGAAGAGGGGTCCTGGAAATTCACGTCCGCCTGGAACCTTTGGGTAGGGTCTCTGCAGAGGTAACCAAGATAAGATGGGTCAGACTGGTTGAGGGTGGTCCTAAACCCAGTGACTGGTGTCCTCATAAGGAGAGAACCCAGAGACACAGGGAGAGACCCAGGCAGGGATGGGGAGCTGCAGCTGCACTCCAGGACCGCCGAGGGCTGTCGGCAACACCAGAGCTGGGAAATCCGCATCTTGGACTCCACGCTTCCAGACTGTGAGACAACACGTTTCCTTTGTTTTAGCCCCGGTTTGTGGTGCTTCGTCTGGGATGCCTCACGGATACCTCCCTCCCTCTCTCACACTGCCACGTGAGCCCACCGGAAGCAGCTCCCAAACCTCCGCCACGATGCCCACGTGGGACAGACCAGCACCTCCCAAGCCTGTACGGAGCTGTCTGTACCCCACGGTGCTCATAATAAGAGGGATCATCTCCTTGTCAGAACCCTGTTGTTCGGGGGTCGGAAGGAAAGTCAGTGTCAGCTTCTCCCTGCCACAGGAAGTAATCTTCGTGGCAGCAACAAGCATGTCTGCCCCGGGCAGGACCAGCTGGAGCCGTATGAAAGCCCTGCTCTCCCAGGTTGTAGTGCCACGTGTGAGCCACCTCACGTGGTCCCTCAAGGCCAGGTGGTGAGGATGAACACCCCGAGGACCCAGAGCGTGGGTAGAAAAGGCCCCCTTCACGCGGTGATCCCCCGACCCCAGGTCAGCAGGACAGGCATTCTGATTTGCTTTTCCAAAAGGATGTGGGTGAATCACACGTGACTCCACTGGGTCTTTCTTTGACGACACATGCTACACAGGCACACACATGCGTATACACACGCGCATGCACACGCACACCCCGACCACCGGGAAGAGGCTGCTGAAAGGTGGCTAGCACCAGCACTGGAGCCAGAATCCGGGTTCAAACCCTGATTCCGTCACTCTTTGCACTGTGATTCAGGGAAGCTTCCTTAACCTCTCTGTGCTCCGTTCCCTCTGCCCAAACCCAGGGGCCACAACCTGACCCCCAGGGACCAGGTGGGTGAGTGACGCGTGTGAAGCCGCAGAGCTGGGGGCAGAGCTGCCCGCCAGCAAGCGCCTGGCTTGGGGCAAGCTCTTCTAACGGTTTCTCGACCCAGATGTTCAACCAGCAGACCTACAGACCCACCACGTGGTGTCAGGACCGAGCCCTCAGTGCTCCCCACGCCCGCGGGCCTGCCCGGCCCGACTCTTCTCACTAACACCGGGCTGCTGCGTGCAGCCAAGGGGCCGTGGGTCCCCGCGGGGTGGCAGGACAGCAGGTGCGCTGGGGACAGGGGCCCCCACGTACCATGGAGCCCAGGGCAGGCCTGCCTCAGCATGGGCTTGTCCATCCTCTTGGCGTAGAAGGCCGCGTACCACACGCGCAGCTCGGTGCCCGGGGGGATGTCACGCGAGGTGGTGAAGTACACGTCGCTGCCGTGCTGGAAGGCCGTCAGGTTCTGGTGCCCGGGCTCTGCTGCCGGCCGCACCAGCATCATCCAGTTGCAGTCATCCTCATTGGAGGTGTCGAAGCACACGGGGTGCCCGTCCTTCTGGAACACCTGGGGGTGAGCGCGGCCCGCCGAGGGGCCGGGGCGGGGGCTGGTTATCCACCGGTGTGCGTGTCAGCGTGTGTGTGTGTGTGTGTGTGTGTGAGAGAAGGGGGGCTGCTGAGTGACCAGTCTGGACGGCACCACATCAGAGGCCAAACCGTGCTCCATACGGACCTGTTTGGGCATTTACAGTGGTGGGAGGGCAGAGGTAGACCCCCGAACAGGTCAGGCTGACCACAAGCAGAAGGGAAGCAGGAGACACAGCAAAAGGTCAGGTGTCACCGGGAGACCCTAGTTCTCCGCATGGCTCAGGTGGGAACTGGGATGCCTAATTCCACCCGTGGTCCAGGTGGGCACCCGCACGCGTGCATTCTGCTGCATGGGGAAACCTGAGTTCTGCTCCTAGGCCAGGAGTTACCAGGAGACCTGAGCTCTATGCGTGGCCCGGCTGGGAACTAGGACATCTGAGGTCTAGGTGGTCCAGGTGTAGAACCTGGACACTCAAGTTCTAATCAGTTTTCAAGTGGGCATGAAGGTGCTTCTTGAGTTCTACTCCCGGCCCAGGTGTCATCGGGACACCTCAATTCTAGGCATGGCCCAGGTGGGAATCAGGACACCTGAGCTCTACTCCAGTTCCAGACGTCATCGGGACACCTGAACTCTATACCTGGCCCAGGTGTCATCGGGACAGCTGAGTTCTGCTCATGGCCCATCTGGGCATCAGGACACCCAAGTTCTTCTCCCGGCTCTGTTGCAAAGTTCCTCCATCTCTATAAGCTGCGCCCTCCTCTGCAAAGCAGCACCACTGCTTTATGGATTAAATGCAGGCAGGGACCAGGGGGAGAAGCTTGAATATTCTGAAGTTCAAAGTAACCACATGGAATAGGGGGTTCCTGTCCGCCATTTTCTGATGCAATCATTGCTTCCTCGTTGTAGGAAGAAATCTCCCCCCTCTCCTGGGCTTTTCCTGTAGGGGCTCCCCACTGCTAAGAGCTGGAGGCCCCCTTTGAGGATGGAGCCCTCGGAAGCAAGAGGAGGGGGCAGAGGGGTCCACCAGGTGCCTAACGACCCTGAGCCGGTGTGGGAACTCTCCCTTGCCCTCCCTCCACGGGCATAAAGCTGCCCCCAGCACCCAGGTAACCAACGCTGAGCCTGTGCTGGAAACGACTCAATACGAGACACGGACCTGCAGAATCTGAGTGGCTGAAAGAAACCAGAACAGGCACAGAGGACTTCTTCAAAGGGGCCTCGGCCGACCTCGGGCCCATAGCGATTACGTGCATCAGCCCCAGGCCTCTTTACCGCACTCCTTCACGTAAAATAACGTCTCTTTCTTCCTTTCTTTGTAAACAAATCGAGTGCCTTTCCTTCCGCTCTGCTGCGCTGAAATCTGCCTGTAAACTCAGTTCTCCAAGGACTGGCGGAACTCCGCGGTCACCTAGATCACCTCTGTCCTGAAACACGTGGGTCTCTGCTAAGGGTCTCCAGGAGAGCGCACCTCTCGGGGTAACCATTGCCCAACCAGCACCTGTTCCTCTGTTTATGTCACAGATGTTTTTGAAGGCTGGCTGAGGCTGGGCGCGTACTGGGTGCGGGGACAGAGCTGTGACTGACACCCACGTCCCTCGCCTCACGGCGCCTCCGTGGGTCTCACTTTAAGTGATCCAAGCCCTCCCACCGATTTCCTTCCGTTTTGGTTTTCTCAGTGTCATAGAAAAGCTGTCATTTTCCAGCCTGATGTGCTTTTCAGAGCTGCCAAATTTTGCACTGGCCTCTCATCAAGGCCTCGACAAGACACCTTCCTTTCGAAAGAGCCTTGCAAGGTATCCTGCACTCTGCACCGGTGTGAAAATACTAAAGCACCCCTGCAAAAACACTAACGCACCCCTGCAAAAACACTAACGCACCCCTGCAAAAACACTAACGTATTCCTGCAAAAACACTAACGCACCCCTGCAAAAACCCACAGAAAGCTCCCCTCCTAAAGCCTGCGCTGGGGATCTACTCTTGCAGATGTTTTAAACAGACTCTCTTTAATGTCTTGCAAAATACTAACTTAACTCTGATGCTCTTGTGATATAAGAACAAACTAAAAAAAAATCTGAACATTGTCTTGGAAATTCAGCAGAACTATAATACCTAGAGCTGTTTCTAAGACATTTATGAATCACTGGAGCTCAGCGGGCATTGCCCCATCTGCACGAGGAAGGTCACAAAGCAGGGGTTCTGCCTCCCCCACTGGCCCCAGCTTTTACCTTCAATGGAAACGCAGACTCCTTCTCCCATTTGGCGACTCTCCTCGACTCAAATGGGCCAAACTGCGTGCGCTTGACGAGCTGGGTCACAGCAAACACCCCCTCAGCTCCATCTTCCAGGCGTCTGATCTCCAGGTTGGAGGGAAGGGACGACCTAGAAATAGAACAAAGCAAGAGACTCTCGGCCCCGGGCATCCACTGACCGAGGTGCCACCCACACCAGGGGACAAGAGCGTTAGGGTGACGGAAAAGGTCGCTCTCACTGGCCCCCAGAGTGGGCGATAGAGGGGCGTTGACTCAAGGATGCGTTTAAAATCCCCGCCCAGGAGACAGAGCCGATGCGTGTGTGTGCGCGCACACACGCACACACACACACACACATCCTAAGTGTGGGCTTCAATCGGCCACCAGAGAGAGGAGGACCACAGAGAGACCACAAAGAGGGGCCGCGTGTAGAGTACCACGGGGAAGACGAGAACTGCCACCGCATTCCAAAGACCAGCAAAGCGCTTCCAGCCAGGCCGCACTGGGCCGCTTTCATTGAGGATGTGGCCTTTCTAAGTAAACTCAGAATATCAAGGATGGGGCATGCGTGCCAGCGGGAAGGCATGTGGGCTGGGGCCCTGCGTGAAGGCCAGGGCCAGCCTGGCCCACATCGGGAGTGGGGCGGACCCCCAGGGCGCCTGGAGCACACACCCCTCCCAGGAGCGAGCAGGGGGGCTGAGACGAGGAACCTATCATAGAGGGACCGATGGCTCCCACGGGAACTTTGTGGGCGACAGGCAACCACTGAAGGTTTTTGGAAGAGAGCTCATCAGATCTGTACTTCAGGCGAAATTAGTAATCTCTGCTTTGTGCAGGGAAGCAACAGTAAGACAAGGAAATAAAGAGGCTGGGAAAACCAGTTGGGCGGCTTCTAGGAACTGCGTTGATTAGATGACAATTTTAGTGCCACTACATGCCGGGCCCTGAATCAGGTGTAACGATCACAGCAACTTTCCAAGGGGTAGTTATTCTCTCCACTTCACAGATGAGGCAACTGAGGTGCAGACAGGAGCACGTCTCGTCCGGGTTCAAACAGCTACTACGTGGTAGGTGGGGCTGTGCCCCTCCCCCCCAGGGAAACATGCACTGGCAGAGCCACGGAGCCCCCTCACCAGATCTAGGTGCTCGTCCAGAAGCTGCCACACCTTTGCCTGGCTGCCCGCATCCCCGCCCCTTGCCCACAGTGGGCGCCTGTTAGACGGCAGGCCTGGGCTCGGACCACAGGGGAGACAGAACAAGCTCGGCCATGGCCGCTCAACGCATAAACCGACCCAGCCCATCAGCTGAACCAGGAACTAGATAAAAGACATTGACCCTGAAGTGTCTGCAACCAGCCTCCGCTCATCCTGGCGGCAGGAGACTCAGCTCACGGTGGGACGGAGATTTCGGACGGCCTCAAACGTGAGGACAGCCCTTCTCACCGAAGTCTCTCCCACTTCTTCTTTTGCTGTTCCCCACCCTTTTCGTAGACACCCAGGCCACCAGGCTCTTGCAGCAGGTGACATGCCGAAAACCCTGTTTGACAGGCAGGACGATAAAAGCAGCTCAAGACGGTCACTTACCTTGCCCTGCTTAACACAAAGGAGTCTTTGACCATGACCACTGGGCCCAGCTCGGGACATTCAGAGTCGTGGTACTGGCTGCAGTCTTCACACCCTGCAAACAAACAACCCAGCGTCAGAGGGGGCGCTGAGTGGGGAGGGAGACGCCCACAGAGCATCGCGCGGCCTGGGGGTAAGCGACAGTGCTCCCCACGAATGCAAAAAGAGCGCAACGCAGGACGTGCGCCCCCAGGAGGAAACCCTGCTCCTCGACATGCTGCAAAGTAGGCCAAGCCACCTCCATGGGGACAGAGGACAGGGGTGTCCCCAGGGAACGAGCGTAAATGAAAATTCACCAACTTAACCCGTTTATCATAAATCTAACAGGTTGTGAGCCTCTTTCTGAAACCCAGGGTTACGTATCTGAGTCAACTGCCACCCCTCCGAGTGCCCTTTGCCGGGAGTTCTCAGAAAGATGCTCCTTTTAAAACGGTACCCGGCAGCACGTTTCTCGTGTAATAAATCGCGGTTCTTAACACAAGTAAGACCCCGTCCAAAGGAGAGAGCTCTTCTCTACTACAGAAACCAAGCGTGGACATGGCTTTGCCTTCCATGGTGAGGACGGGCCACGGGCCACTTACAGATGAACATGATCTCCTCGTTCCCATCTTCAGCCATCACCACCACCTGTCAGGACAGAGCGCCGCGTTAGTGATCAGCTTTGGCCAAAGGCATTTTTAGAATTGAAGTACAGTTGATTTACAGTGTTGTGTTCATTTCTGCTGTACCGCAAAGTGATTCAGTTACATTCTTTTTCAGATTCTTTTCCATTGGCGTTTTTAAAGACAGTCCCTGCTAATGGCCCCCTCGAGCCTGTGTAGGGACTGACTTACTTTGTGCTTTGTTGTTGTTGTTGTTGTTTGTTTGTTTTTTTTGTTTTTTTGGCGGTACGCGGGCCTCACTACTGTGGCCTCCCCCGTTGCGGAGCACAGGCTCCGGACGTGCAGGCTCAGCGGCCATGGCTCACCGGCCCAGCCGCTCCGCGGCATGTGGGATCTTCCCGGACCGGGGCACGAACCCGTGTCCCCTGCATCGGCAGGCGGACTCTCAACCACTGCGCCACCAGGGAAGCCCACTTTGTGCTTTTTAAGAAATTTTTTATTTTATTTTATTGGTCCTGCCACGTGGCTTGCGGGATCTTGGTTCCCCGACCAGAGATTGAACCCGGGCCCCTGGCGGTGGAAGTGTGGAGTCCTAACCACTGGACCGCCAGGGAAGTCCCTGACTTTGTGCTTTAAAGGCAACAGGCAGCAGGGTCCCCTTTATCGTGGGTTCGGGTGGGGGCCTTGAAATGTTTTCTAACCGAGAATGATGCTTTTTCATAAGCCATTGATGTGAATGGCTCTGAATTAGGACGTCTTCATGAACTCAGGCTTTCATCTTTCATATCAGCCATCCATTTCCAGTTGTAAAATAAATACACCACTATTTTAAAAAGCCCGTTTTCTCACTGCCACTTCTATTTTTTCCTCCCTCATGGGACTATGACTTCCTCCGGGGCAATCACATCACACGTGACCTCCATTTTCTTCCACCTGCTAACCTGTGCGTGACACCAAATTTCTCTTGGGGGGACTAAGCACTGCCTGACATCATGGAGGAGAGCCCGCCTGCTCTCCACAAAACCTTTATCACAACTGGTCACTTCTATCTCCTATTCAACCTTGAGGTTCACCTCCACAGCGAGCAGCTGTGCTCAGGCCCCCTGCATATTCGTGGGCGATCTGGACATATTCAGATGGGGCCTCAGATTCCTGATCTATAAAATGGAAATGAAAATGCCCACCTCATGTAGTTTTGGGGGGAGCATAAAGTGAGACACACCCGGTATGTGCCACTCAATAATCGTTCCTCTTCCCTCCCACCCCTCCATCCCCAATTAAGCTAACTCAACACATCCTTCCTGCATCCCACTCCTAGCCAAGCCCGAGTGTATCACTAGGTACCTTTCTGGGGAAGTACACAGGCCGGCGCTCCACGAATGCCGATTCCACACGCCCTCTGCCCCATTTCCACCCCGGGAGCTTGCGAAGAATCAATAGCAGACAAATGCAAAGTCCCAATGAAAACTGATTTGCTGAACACGTGATTAGTTGAAAGGTCCACCACAGAAGAGTGAATTAGTTATAAGGAAACAAGGCAGAGAGATGGCATTTCCAATTTGCCCCTAAAATGCCAAGGATCAACAACCAGGGCATATTTTTTCCCCAAACACAGCACAGTTTTTTCTGTTCCTGGGGACACCCCTTTACATTACAAGATGCTAATGTGGCCTCAGCACGTTTAACTTGGTGTTTCCTGGTTGATGGGCTCCACAGGTGGGGTCAGGGGCCAGTCTGGAACAGGGGCAACGGCTGGTCACGGAGCAAAAGGAGAAGAGGGACAAAGAGGCAGAGGAAACGCATGAAAACCCGCTTTCGTGAGCTGCTGAGGTGCCCCCAGGAGCTTGAGAGCCGTCCGCCCATCAGCAGGAACCCACTCTACCCACCAACACCAGCTCACAGTCAAGGAAGTTCTACAAGAACAGTGGGCTCTTAAGGGAGCCCTCAAACTGCTTACAAAGCTGGCAGCATCGGAGGGTGCGGACAAAGGGAACCGTTCTGGCCTTCCCCGTGGCCCAGTGTGGCCGCCTCCCCTGTGCCTGCCTCTGGTCTGGCCTCTCAAGGCTTCCATGTCTTGGCTACTGTAAATAGTGCTGCTGTGGACACTGGGGTGCATGTATCTTTTCAAATTAGAGTTTTCTCCGGATATATGTCCAGGGGCGGGATTGCTGGGTCATATGGTAGCTCTATTTTTAGTTTTTTAAGGAACCTCCATACTGTTCTCCACAGTGGCTGTACCAATGTACATTCCCACCATCAGTGCAAGAGGGTTCCCTTTTCTCCACACCCTCTCCAGCATCTGTTATTTGTAGACTTTTTAATCATGGCCATTCTGACTGGTGTGAGGTGGTACCTCATTGTAGTTTTGATTTGCATTTCTCTAATAATTAGCGATGTTGAGCATCCTTTCATGTGCCTGTTGGCCATCCGTATGTCTTCTTTGGAGAAATGTCTTTTTAAGTCTTCTGCCCATTTTTGGATTGGTTTGTTTGTTTTTTTGTTACTGACTTGTATGAGCTGTTTGTGTATTTTGGAAATCAAGTCGCATTGTTTGCAAATATTTTCTCCCACTTCATAGGTTGTCTTTTCGTTGTGTTTGCTGTGCAAAAGCTTATGAGTTTGATTGGTCCCATCTGTTTATTTTTGCTTTTATTTCTACTGCCTTGGGAGACTAAGAAAACACTGCTATGGTTTCTGTCAGAGAATGTTTTGCCTATGTTCTCTTCTAGGAGTTTTATGGTGTCATGTCTTATATTTAAGTCTTTAAGCCATTCTGAGTTTATTTTTGTGAATGGTGTGAGGGTATGTTCTAACTTCACTGATTTACATGTAGCTGCCCAACTTTCGCAACATCACCAGCTGAAGACACTGTCTTTTCTCCATTGTATATTCTTGCCTCTTTTGTTGAGATTAATTGACTATAGGTGTATGGGTTTATTTCTGGGCTCTCTATTCTGTTCCATTGATCCATATGTCTGTTTTTGTGCCAATACCATGATGTTTTGATTACTGTAGCTTTGTAGTATTATCTGAAGTCTGAGAGTTATGCCCCCAGCTTTGTTCTTTTTCCTCCGGATTGCTTTGGTAATTCTGCATCTTTTATGGTTCCATATAAATTTTAGGATTATTTGTTCTAGTTCTGTGAAAAATGTCACAGATAATTTGGTAGGGACAATTAATCTGTAGATTGCTTTGGGTAGTATGGCCATTTTAACAATATTAATTCTTCTAATCCAAGAGCATGGGATATCTTTCCATTTCTTTAAATAATCTTTAATTTCCTTTATCAATGTTTTATAGTTCTCAGCATATAAGTGTTCCACCTCCCTGATCAGGTTTATTCCTACGTATTTTTTTTGGGGGGGGGGGAATGCGATTTTAAAAGAGATTGTTCATTTTTTACTTTCCCTTTCTAATATTTCACTGTTAGTGTGAAGAAATGCAACAGATTTCTGTTCGTTAATCTTGTATCCTGCTACTTTGATGAATTCGTTTATCAGTTCTAGTAGTTTTTGTGTGGCACCTTTAGGGTCTTCTATATAGTATCATGTCATTTGCATATAATGACAACTTTACCTCTTCCCTTCCAGTATGGATATCTTTTATTTCTTTTTCTTGTCTGAGTGCTATGGCTAGGACTTCCAATACTATGTTGAACAGAAGTGGTGAGAGTGGACACCCTTGTCTTGTTGCAGATTTTAGCAGGAAGTCTGTCAGCTTTTCACTGTTGAGTATTATGTGGGTTGTGGGTTTGTCATAAATAACTTTTATAAAGGAGCCTCCTGAAGTCTGTGTTGTGCTCGCAAAATCCCTCTGGTGTGCAGAATGCTCCTTTGCAGAAGGGAAGTCCAGTCTCCAGACTTCTGCAGCATGTAAGAAATCTCAGACCAAGGGATTGTAAATAGTACTGTTGTAGGGAAAATGACAGAAAAATATTCAAAGTGTGATATTCAGCCATTTTAACCACCGATCCTGGGGAAACTTACTTATATCAGTGGTTCTCAGTGTGGTCCCTGGACCATCAAACAGTAGCACCAGCAGCACCTGGGAATTTCTCAGAAATGTGAACTCTTGGGCCCCTCCCCAGACCTGCTGGGCTGGGGCCCTGCACTCTGTGTATTTGCAAACCTCCAGGTTATCCTGATGCGGCTCAAGTCTGAGAACTGCTGCTTAACCTTCAATCTTTTTAACACTTACATGATTACTACTGCAAAAAGCACTGGGGGACCACAGCAATCATGTCAGGAAACGAGATTTGTCATGAGGGTCAGTTAGGCTTAGACCAGGAGTATCTGTGTGTAACTTGGTGGGAAATGGGGAGCAAGGGGAGATCTGGGGCAGATGCTCTCTGTGACACCTGAGGTTTACTCGGCAGCCCCCATGATTACAACTGTTAAAAACAATTCTGAAAAAGAAGACTAAAGTGAGAGAAATCAGTTTACCTGGTTCAAGCTTAATTATAAAGGACAGTAATAAGGACTTTGGTATTGGTAGAGGGATAGACACACAGATCAATGGAAATGGAGAACAGACTCACAGAAATATGCTCGACTGATTTTGGACAAAGGGGAAAAGCAGCTCAGTGGAGGAAGGATGGTCTTTTCAACAAACGGTGCTGGGGCAACTGGACATGCAGAGGCAGAAAAAAAAAAAAAAAAAAGAACTGTGACCTCACATCTCACACAAAGATTAATTCATAATGGATCAGAGACTTAAAACATAACACAGTAAATTTTTTTTAGAAAAACAGGAGAAAATCTTTGAGATCTAGAACTAGCCAGTTTTTAGACTTGTCACCAAAATCATAGTTTACTAAAGGAAAATTGATAAACAGGACTTTACCAAAATTTAACATTTTTGCTCTACAGAAGATGTTAAGAGGATGAACAGACAATGTGAAGACCAGGAGACATTTTTGCAAACCACGTAACCATATGCAGAATATGCAAAGAACTCTCAAAACCCAATAGTAAAAATGCAAACAAGCCAATTAGAAAATGGGCAAAAGACATGAATAGACATTTCATCAACAAAAACACTGGAATGGCAAATAAGCACATGAAAAGATGTCCAATGTCATTAGCTGCCATGGAAACGCAAGTAGAAACCGCAAGGACACCACTCCACACCTTTCAGAACGGCGGGATGCCGGTGGGGATGAGGGGACTGGGGCATCTGTGTTCGCTAGCGGGAGTAGAAATCCATTTGACGGTTTCTGATAAAACCAACATGGCCGATGACCCAGCAATGGCACTGGTGGGTGGTTATCCCAGAGAAATGGAAACTTACATCCACAAAAAACCTGTACATGACTACTGAGGGTAGCTTTATTCCTAAGAGCCTAAACTGGAAACAACCCAGAGTCCCTCACTGGGTGACTGGTTAAACAATCTAATCTGTGGTCCATCCACAGCCTGGAATACTAATCAGCAACTAAAGACACGAAACTACTGACACACATATAACCGATCTGGAATCCCCAGAGGGCTGCTGGGTGAAAAACGCCAGTCCTCAGAGGTTACGTGCCGTATGACCCCATTCACATAACATTCTTGAAATGACAAAATTATTGAGGAGGGGACTAGAGCACTGGTTGGTGGGGGTAAAGGAGGGAGAGGGGTGGGAGGAAAGAGGGGGAGGCTATAAGGGGGCACCAGGGGGCTCCTTGCGGGGCTGGAACATTCTGTATCTGGACTGCGTCAAGGTGACCATCCCTGCTGCCACCCGGTACTGGAGTTGTGCAAGATGGTACCACTGGGGGAAACTGGATGAAGCATACACGGATCTCTCTGTGCTCTTTCTTATAACCACCAGGGAACCTACAGCGATCTCATCAAAATCTGTGAAATCAAATCACTGGAGTTCAAAAGCAACTTCCAGCACAACGCATGGGAATGGTCTGGATCCTGGTGGAATAAAGCACACATGACTTTTATCGGACCACTGGCTATCTGAACGCCGACTGGATATCTGACCAGATTTTGACCATGTTAAGGAACCGGTGTTAAATGTTTTAGGTGGGTAACAGTATTGCGGTTATTTTTAGAGCCCTTCTCCTGTAGAGACACAGACTGAAATATTTACAAACGCAATGATGTGACCAGGGTTTGCCTCGAGGTCCTACCGGTGGGGAGTCCTGGACGGGCTGGAGGGGGCAGTCAGACCTGGGCGACAGCAGCTGAGCTGGTGATGGCCTCGCGCGGTCGGCCGTTGCCTGCGGGTCCACTGTTTCGTGTGTTCATACTAAGCTATCTGTAAATGGTGCCGACACACTCTTCCCAGGTCCTCCTCTTCCGCTGACTCTGCGTCCTGCCCCCAAAGCTGGCCTTGGACGCATGCCAAGTCCACTAAACAGCTTTTTCTTCACCTCACTTGACCTCTGGGTCACACCGGATGTGGCTGACTGCTCTCCTCTCCTCCACAGCCACTCCTCTCCCAGCCAACCGCCCCGAGCTGCTCTCTCGCGGTGCTCTGGCCCCTGGGGTATCCTCCTCTGCCACCCGGTCACTGTCTTAGCTCCCATGGGCTCAGCACTGGCCCCTTCTCATCCCTCTTCGTGCTGGACCCTCTTCCCAGGCAGTCACACCTGCTTCTGTGGCTGCTGCTAATACCACATGGACACTGGTGACCCTACTCGGGGTCCCACACGGACACCCAGCTCCCCGGCCGCACCTCCGCCTGGAAGCCGGCGGCACCTCAACGCGCCAAAAACGAACTCCGGGCCACTCCCAGCTTCCCTGCCTAGTGCTCCGAGGGCCACGGGAGGCCGAGTCTGGCTCTCAGGCAGGTGGTCAGGGACCTCCTACGGCTGCGAACATTCATCACCCAGAACTTGGATGCAGGCAGACACCCTGCCGCCACCCTCAGCTCAGACGGCCCAGAAACCTCATTGGTCTGTTGTCAGTTTCACACAAATTTTCTATAAAAACACAGTGCAGTTCTACAGATCGCCTGCCGCTGGGAGTGTTCCCCAGCCTGCCGCTGGTCAAACACCACCTGGAGAGGAAAGAGAGGGTAAGACGAGCCTCCCCCACGTCCCAGCACAGACCAGCTCGATCCAGATTCCCCGGGAAACAGGTCCTGGAAGGGGAACCATACACCAAACGTGGGACAGAACACTCTTTACCACAACGATCGCTCAGATTCCAAGTCCTCAAAGTACCTCCTGTAGGTGGTCGGACAGTGTTCCTCCTTCCAAGACAGGCTTGTCTCACTCAGCATCACGTCCTCAAGGTTCATCTACGTTGGACTGTGTGTCAGAATGGCCCTCCTATTAAAGGCTGAATAATACCCCATCGTTATTCACCTGTCGATAGACACTTGGGTCATTTCCACGTTTTAACTACTGTGAATGAAGCCGCTATGAACAAGGGGCAAATACCTCTTCGGGTCTCTGCCTTCGACTCTTTTGGGTCTATACGCAGAAGTGGACTTACTGGATCATACAGTAATTCTACATTTAATTTTTGAGGAACCACCATACTGCTTTTCATGGCAGCTGCACCATCTTCCATTCCCTCCACACCTTCGCCAACGCTTGTTATTTTCTGGGTTTTTTGACAGTAGCTGTCCTGGTGCATGCAAGGTGAAAAGGAATTTTTTTTTTCCGCCTTGCCGCGTGGCACGTGGGATCTTAGTTCCCCAACCAGGGATTGAACCCTGCAGTGCCCCCTGCAGTGGAAGCAAGAAGTCTTAACCACTGGACCACCAGGGAAGTCCCGATAAGGATTATTTTTAAGTGTGATCTGCAGAAGCTGGGGGTTAGAAAAAACAATCAGTTTTGAAACACTGGAAAGTGAAAACTTCACAATTTTAAAAGACACGTAGCTTAAAATAACTCAAAGAAAAAGGCGCTTTCAAGAAGGTTGTTGATATAAGTATGAAACGAAGGTTATCGCTTGTTTGTTAATCTGGCTGGGCCTTCCCAGGCCGTCCCTGGCCTGCCTATGTGATGGAAGGGGACGGATAAAGGACAGAGGTGATGGAGGCTGAGGGCCTGCAAGTTTGCTATTGGCCCAGATGACTTAGCAGTCCCTCCTTGTCAGTGACCAAAGCAGTGGTCTCAACAGAAATATAAGGTAAGCCACACATGGAATACTTCCTAGATCTTTAGTTTTGCAATAATTACAGGAAGTTTCAAAAATAGCACAGGAAGGTCCCTGAACCCTTCACTCAGTTTTCTCCAAGGGTTATATCTTACATAACTATGTGTATCACATACATAGTTTGAGAGCGTAACTACAGCACACTCTCAAAACCAGGACACTGACCTTGGCACTGTGCGTGTGCACGTAATTCAGTGTCTTCTCATCACAGGTGAAGGCTCATGGGACGACCTCCATAATCCAGATTCAGGAATGTTCTATCACTGAAAAGACTTCACTCATGTGCCCCTCTATAGTCACACCCTGTCCCCTGACCATCCCTAACCCCTAGCAACCACTAATCTGTTCTCCAACTCTACAAATTTTATCATTTCAAGAGTGTCATATGGGGAGGGAGGGAGACGCAAGAGGGAAGAGATATGGGAACATATGTATATGTATAACTGATTCACTTTGTTATAAAGCAGAAACGAACACACCACTGTAAAGCAATTATACCCCAATAAAGATGTTTAAAAAACAAAACAAAACAAGTGTCATATAAATGGGACCACACGGTATGTGGCCTTGTGAGACTGGCTTTTTTCTTCCCTCAGCGTAACGTCCCTGGGTTGTCACATGTCTCAGTAGTTCAGCCCTTTTACTGCCCCTCACTCCATGATGTGAGTTTAACCACTCACTTACTGAAGGAGCCTTGCTTTTGTCCCCACCTTTGGCTATTACAAATAAAGCTGCTATGAACCATTGTGCACGGGTACGTTTGGACGCCAGTTGACATTTCTCTGGGATAAACACCCAAGAGTGTAATGACTGGGTCCTACGCGAGGTGGGTGTCTAGTTTTTAAAGAAACTGCCCCACCGCCAACGTCTGAAAGATCCAGTTTCTTGGCGTCCCTGGCAGCGTTTGGTGTCACCGTGTTTTATTTCAGCCGTTCTCACACGTGTGCAGTGGTACCTCATTGTGGCTCTAGTTCGCATTTCCCTCATGGCTAATGACACTGCACATCTCTTCCTGTGCTTATTTGCCACTCGTAAATCCTCTTCGGTAAATGTCTCTTCGCATCTTTTGCTCATTTTCTAGTTGGCCCCTTCCTGTCCCACTGCCCTTCAGGTCTGACACTGGCTGCGTGGGCCTTCCTTCCACTGTCACCTGGGATTCGTTTGTCCTCTTGGGTGTGGAGCTCTTGTTCCCTGAGCCCTCATTGCTTCCGTTTTCTTGGTTTATTCCTTTGATCTGGGGAGCACATTTTCCAGTAGTTTCCTTAGAATGGTGCCTGGGAGGTAAATCTCTTGAGAGGACTTGCCTGTCTGCGAATGTCTTTGCTCCAATCTCACGGGCCAGCTGCTTTGCCCGGTACGCGGTGGTTTTCCCGAGGAAGGTTGAAAGTGAGACTCCATCGTCCTCAGCTTCCAATGCTCCAGCTGAGGCGTCTGATGACTTTCCAGGAGGCAAACCCTCTGTATGTGACTCCCTCCCCCCAGATCTCTTAGACTGTTTTAGCTCCAGGACCCTGAAGGCTCAGTCTGCCTTGGTGCCAAGCTCGGGCTGTGGCCCTTTCAACCCGGCTCTCCTGTCCTGCAGTCCTCAGATTTTCTTGTGTTATTTCTTTTATAATTTCTTCCTCTTTCTGAACCTCTTAGTTTCGTCCAAGATGACATCTGTTTTTCTGACTCTCACATCTGGTTCTTCAGGAGGGATTTCTGAGCAAAGGGGGGCAAGAGAGGTTTGCATTCTGCCGTCTCAGAAATGGAAACTGAGCTAATTGGCCTTCTCAGGCTGATGAGAGCTCCAACGGGCAATCATCTTTTGCTTAACAAAAAAAAAAAAAGAAAAGAGGGGAATGTGAGGCCTGATTCTTACTTAACAGGCCTTGAGAGACAGACAAGATATTTTAAAACTAGGCACCCTGGGAGCTTTGGTGGTGAAAAGATCCTCACACGTTCTCAGCATAAGGGCGAGAGCACAGTGGAAAGAGAAACCACAGAGAACAAAGTCCAGAGAAGTCAGATGTGCGGGACAAAGGGGCCCAGAGGGACGGGGCGGAGGGGGCGGGTGGCATGGAAGCAATGGATCAATGAACAGAATTGAAGCGGCTTGGTCAGAACAGACTTTGTAAACCTCTCGACTAATATGACCAAATTGCACTTATGTTTTTGGTCACAATAAAAGGCAAACTTACTATAACTAATTAGCATATATATTTTTAAGCTTACAAAAGGCCAAAGGCCTTGAGTTACGAAGCACTGGGAACACTCCTTCCCCAAGACAGACTCTCTGTCCAGCAGGTAGGGTCCCTTCCCCCCGACAGCGAGCAGGGGGTGACAGTTCCGGCACATCATCCCCTGCAGGCCCTACACACGAATCACGATCTCGGGACACTCGAATGAGAACATCTGCCTCCGGCCTCATCATGGTGGAAGGCCATTTATCGAGGGTTTTCTGATGGTACCTGCGATATTTCAGCGCTTAAGCTGGAGAAGCAGATGGTGCTGAACATTGAAAACAAGTCAAACGGAGCCCTAACGTCCAGCACCTCTCAGGTAAAGAAAGCCGTCATGTCTGGGAAGCCCACGCTTCAATTTGCTGTAAGTCTGCGGAAACATGACCCCACAGGCTCTGGGAGACTCCAGGGGAGCATCCAGAGTTGGGCTTCCTCAGATGCTATTAGGATGAGAGGCTTCAACTGGGCCCCCACTGTGACCCTGAGCTGGCCCCTGCCCCGTGACAGCGAAAGGTCCCTCACCACCCCAAACCATCCATGACCAGCCTCCCAGCTTCCACGACCCCTTCCTCTTGTTTCCTCCTCCAGAAGCTCCCTCCACCTGCCAAACTCCTACCTAACCTTTAAAACCTAATCCAAATGGCTCCTCCTCTCCAAAGCCCTCTTGGCCACACCTGTCACTCACCACACAGGCACACTGCAGCCACGTCTCCCCGGGAGGCCCCGCCCCACCTGCACCTCCCTTATTACACACCTGTCTCTGCTGCAGTTATGCCCCTGGGTTATTCACACAAGCCTTCAACCAGAGCTCACTCGTGAAAACAAAGAAGCTTTACCTGTGGCTCTAATGCCGCACTTCTGTCTCCTTTCATTGCAAAAGTCCTGGGAAGGACTCTGGCGGCTTCTCTCTTGAATGGGAAGAACTGCCCTCCTGGCTCCACCAAAGCCCTCCACTGTGGACTGCCTCCCCTTCATCCCCTAGGCAGCATTCACCCTCTCCCCCTGGAAACCCTTTCCTGCGAGGTCTCCTGGTCTTTCCATCCCAACCGCTGCTCCTCCCGAGGCCCCTCTGTGCTCCCATCTCAAGCCGCCACAGTGGGGCAGCCCAGGCCGGCCCTTCGGTCCTTTCTCCATCCGGATCCGGCATTTACCCGCCATCACCTCCCATGCCCGAGTCCACCCAGGCCCCTGAGCCCACCTGACACATGGTTCCACGACCGACCTCTTTGCCGACAGTCCCACAAAAGTGTTTTACAAAATGCCATTTCCTGCCCTTCAGCTGACAGTGTAAGCTGCTCAGCCTTACTTTAAACAGCTGCAAGGGACGTAATCTCCAGCATATTATGAATATTAACTTCTTAAAATAAAACTGCTATGTGGCTCTTCTAAACACATTTATTGGAATCGAAACACCACAGCGTGATACCCACTGCCATCCGGTCACAAGGCATGTGGACAAGCTCTTCATCTGTCAGGAGGCTCACGGCGCTTCTGTCTTTACCATCGTCTGTTTCCATCACCATAGATGTTAAACCCAATGTGTTATGTTTGTGCTTGAAATGACTATTGATCACCGTTTACGCATACAGATCAAATTAGTCTTGATTTCCTATGACCGTGAGTTTGTGCTAATTTCTCCTGGACTACGCTATCGTTCCAGTAACTGGGACACCACTGATCAAAATGGAAATACTGCCCACACTGGTAAACAGTCACCTAGCACAGAAGCTGGGTTTAATGAGATAAATAGGACTTTCCCGCCAATCCAGTCACGTATCATGGAATTCGATTCAACTCTGTTCCTACCCTTCGTTTTTACAGATGTGAGTGCAGGAAACCCTGCTCCCACAGACAAGTAGCTGGGACGGAAGAACTTCGTTATAGTCGCCACTTAGCAACGACCACCTGCCGAGGTCTCCCACGCACCGTGAGAGCCACGTACTTGTGAGCTGACCACGGCCCACACCAAGACTGGGGCTGGGGGGTCGCCATCTTCTGGACAGTGGGAGGGACCCTTCCTTAGTAAGGGAGCACTTAAGGAAGGTGATGACCAGGACCATGGGCCCTGGGCAAGGGTTTCTCCCACCCGAGGGGCAGTTTGAAGATGCTGCTGGTCTACCAGGTCCTGATTCCCTGACCACCCCTCAACCTGCACACCTGTCACCTGCACCTCAGTGAATGGCCCCTCCTGTCACCCCCTGCACATTCCCCACCCAAACCAGCAGCAAGGCCTGCCTCGCTCTAGAAATACGCTTTGTCCTGTCACCTCATTTCCCCTCTGCCCCCACCCTGTTTCTAGGGGAACCTTGTTGGGCAGCCA